TCTAAACTGGATCTGCTTATTGCCAGAATCAACATGATAAAACCTGCGCTGATAATAATTTCTGAAACATGGCTCAAGCCAAATATAGCGGACTCAATGATAAAAATACCTGGATATGACCTATACCGAGATGACAGGATAGGCAAGCGCAGTGGAGCATTCGGAATATGTGCCTCAAAAGAAATTGATATCTTGACAATAAAACATAATACCACTTACAACAAGAAATATGAAACTTCCGAATGTTTATGGGTTGACGTTAAAATCCGAAATAAGAAGTTCCTACTATGTGGACTATATAGAGGACATGACTCTTCAATAGACCAAGATAACAGCTTACTCAATTAACTTCACCATGTATTCGAGTCTAACACTGTGGTAATAATGGGTGACTTCAACTATGGCGGAGTGAAGTGGCCACTTGAAGACATTGGATATCTTACACCAACAGAAAGTAACTTCATACAATGGTACAGAAATAGTAACCTCCATCAGATAGTAGACAGACACACTAGGTACTGTCAAGGAAATCAATCTATATAATATTTGAAACTTGTATTAACAAATGAGGACTCACTTATAGACAGTTTCGATCACCAAGCCCCTATGGACAAAAGCGATTATACCTGCTTATTGGCTACTATAGTGTTGCAAATGCAGAACCAAGAAATGCAATATAAAATCAGACTAAATTTTAACAAAGCTGATTACGACAAAATAAAGACAAAATTGCTATCTATGTTACCTGAAAACATGGCAGACAAAATGTGTGTGAAATTACAATTTGAAACCATTCATGGAGATATCATGAATGGTTTCAAATTGTAATTTCACACACATTTTGTCTGCCATGTTTTCACATTCTGTGTGGATGGAAGCTATCAACTTGTACGTACCACAGTTGGATATCTATCTAAATAACACAAACAAGCCCTGAGTTAGTAGAAACAAAACTAAAAAGCTCATCAATAACAAAATAGCCTTGTGGAACAGATACGTGCTGACTGGACTATAACAGCATTATAGAGACTACAGAAACATAAACTACCTACTATTAAATCGAAATAGGAAAGCTCGAACAACCTATGAACAAGAAATAGTGCATGCAGGACCAAAAAAGTTTTACTTCTACATAAGACAGCAAGTAACATCAAAAGTAAGCATTCCTATTATTTTGCTAAATAAACAAGGACAAAGTGTTACCCAACCTTACGAAATTGCCAGGGTATTTGCGGAACAATTTGCGAGTGTTTTCCAAACAGAACCGCGTGACCAGGAAGTTGGTCATGCGGTTCTGTTTGGAAAACACATTAGACCCGACACTTCAAGTAGAAGATTCCATTGAAGAAATTCTGTTCACACCAGACCAAGTCAACCGAGTCATTTCATAAATGAAAACAGATCTCTGGGACCAGACTATATACCAGTAGTTATATTGAAGAAATGCAACCTATCTCAGTATTTAGCAAAAATCGGTATTTAAAAAAACATCGTACGAGACAAGCATCTTACCGGACTTATGGAAAACAGCATTGGTGACACCCATATTTAAAAAAGGTAGCAAACTGGAACCATCCAATTACAGACCCATCAGCTTAACCAGTGTGATCTACAAGGTTATGGAGAAAATTGTAGTAAAGCATATTAGAAACTTCCTCTCCAACCATAAAGTTATCCCTAAACAGCAACACAGTTTTTGCCCACATATTTCTCTCACATCCCCACTCCGACGCTTACCAATATGGAAGCCACCATAAGTAGAATAGCCATGTCTGGACACCAGTCTATCATCATAGCCTCCTGCTATATCCCTAGCGGAACCCTCCCCCTTAAGAGCGATTTCGAAGCCATACTTGCATTAGGCAATTCAGTCACTATGTTTGGAGATTTTAACCCCAAGCATACTGAATGGACCTGCCTCACTACTACTAGTAGTGGCAAGGTACTGCTGAATATCACTCAGTCTCTCGACCTGACTGTCTACAGCCCCCTTGCTGTCACCCACCATCCTGACAATGTTGACCATGCTCCTGACGTGCTAGATTTTGCTCTAGTTAAAGGAGTCTCCCTTAACTTTAGAGCAATCGAGACTCTCGTTGATCTAGGATCCGACCACCATCCGGTATCCCTCATTTCTGGCCAACAGCCACCTCCAACTCCCTCTTCCAAAACCTACACCAACTGGAAGGGCTTCAGGAAGTCCCTAGCCTCAGCTATAGGCTCTCCGGACCCTCCCATAACCCTCTCTTCCGACGTCCTCGACAGTACGGGGAAAATAGACACCACGATCGAAAATCCGATCACACTAATAAAATTCTCCCTTAAGGAGAATGAATGGGTTGTCCCGGTCGCTAAAACTAGTCTTCCCCTAGATATTAGCAACCTGATCAAAGCCAAAAAAGCTGCCCTCCGTAGAGCCGCACGCTATCCCACTCCCGAATATAGACTTGCGGCCCACCGCCTTCAACGTAAACTCCGTTACCAACTCAAAGACTTTAGAGACCTCGAAAAGAGCAATCTCATGGAGAATATCTCCCCTTCTCATACAGCGTACTACCAGATGGCGAGAGTCCTCCGGACAGACGCTATCACTCATACCCCCCCTCTCTCTCGTTCCGACGGCGCTATTACCTTCGAGGCCTAAGAAAAGGCTGAGTGCTTCGCTGACAGCGTCGCCGCACAACGCTCTTCCAGCTCACAACCCACTGAACCCTTCCATATCCAAGAAGTGGAGGACGAGGTCCGTCGCCGGAACTCACGCCCCACTGCCTCTGACCCTATCTCTGTGTCCAAAGATGAGATTTCATCCATCATCAAAGGACTAAAACCCAAAAAAGCACCGGGTGCGGATGGCATCTCCAACCAAGCCCTTAAACATTTTCCGAAGCAGGTGATCGCCTTATTGGCCATAATCTTCAACGCATGCTTCGACTTCAGCTATTTTCCTACCTCTTGGAAAGAGGCAACTGTCATTGGCATTCCCAAGCCAGGCAAACCTCACCACCTCCCTTCAATCACCGTTCCATCAGTCTCCTCAAGGCCATGGGCAAACTTTTCGAAGAGTTATTCTCATGCGCATGAGGCCGGTTGTCATCCTACAATTTGGGTTCCGAGCCAAAGACTCGTGCCCCCAGTAATTTCACCGTATTGTGGAATATATCCTCAGCGGTTTTTATCCTCGTCGTCAGAAGACCATCGCGGTATTTTTCGACATTGCCAAGGCATTTGATAGAGTCTGGCATGACGGCCTTATCTACAAATTGTACGACTTAGGCCTCTCTGACCTCCACCTCTTAGCCTCCTATTTGAAGGAACCCGGAGAAGAGCTCCGCCGTTTGCTTCGAACATAAACGACGCCGTCTCACTACCATTCCGCCAATCAGCATGTCAGGAACCTCTGTCTCATGGCAAACAAAAGTCAAATACTTAGGCGTCACCCTTGATGCAAGGCTCACTTTCGAGCCCCATATCAAGAAAGTAACCCGCACCGCGCGATTTTACATGGGTAGACTCAACAGCATGTTGGGCAGACACAGTAAAATGTCCCTCCGCAACAAGCGAACCCTATATAAGGTCTGTATACGACCCGTTATGACCTACGCGGCCCCCATTTTCGCACATTCTAAACCCAACCTTATAAATGAACTTCAAATAGTTCAAAATCTTTTCAGTCGCCGGGCTACGAACTCAAGTTAGGCACACTTTATCGAACAACTGATTGACACCTAAGGTGGTACGTAAAATAGACGCTAGATAGCCTGAATTTTTTTAATTCCAGTTTAAGCATGCATCATAACAAGTAAAAAGTAATTAAATGCCAAAAGATTAATAAAACTAAATTAAGTTAACAATTATATATCAGGTTGGGTGTCAATACCGAGTGGCGTACCACAGGGGTCCTTGCTGGGGCCGTTGCTATTTCTCATATTTGTTAACGATATTGAAACCTGTTTTAAATCATCACACCTACTGTGTTTTGCAGATGATATGAAAATATTTTCCACAATCTCATCGCAGGTTGATGCTGAATTACTGCAGAAGATCTACTAAGATTAGAGGAATATTGTTCAATATTCATATAGTAATGCTTATTAATAGTAATGAATATTACTATTAATAAGCATTACATATTCACGCAAGCGAAACTTAATTCATTTCGGCTATCACCTTAAAGGTCAGAAGTTACAAAAACAATCAGTTGTACGTGATCTAGGGATTTTCCACGACTCTAAGTTATTATTCAACAACCATGTTCACAATATCATAGCTAGGACGTCTAAGACGTTAGGTATTGTCATGCGTACTGCTAAAGAGTTTAATAACATTAAAACAATTAAAATCTTATACTGTACTTACGTCCGCAGTACGCTTGAATATGCTTCGCAGATCTGGAATCCAATGTATGATACATACATTTCACGGATTGAAAGTATTCAACGTAAATTCATACGAAATCTTTGCAATCGTACCCATAGAAACTACCGATCAGAAGACTATATATCCTTATGCAAACAGCATCATCTGTTACCTCTGATAAAGCGTCGGGAGATTGCTGACATTGTATTTTTATTGAAAATTTGTTCTGGCAATGTTGACTGCCGTGTAGTGGTGGTTAAGAATATCCACTACCCCATATCTTCCCGTGGGTGTCGTAAGAGGCGACAGAGGGAGACAGGCAGGAGATGGGCAGCAGCATCTTCCTGATAACAGCAACTGTACGACAAAAAAAAAAACTGCGGTTGCCAACCCGCTCGCCAAGCGTGGCAACTATGGCAATATACCCCCCATGAACAATTACACAAATAGACGGCCCCCAGTCCCCCGGCGGCCCCGCTATTCCTGGCTACGGTGGCGACCATGGTAACGGCGGGGCAGGGGGTGCTAAGAATCTCCGGTGGAGGTTCGGTTGCCACCTACGACGACTCGACCTGGCAACATTTAACGCACGCACACTGAGGACTGACGAGAAGATCCTGGAGCTGGAAGAAGAGATAGACAAGTTGCGCTGGAGTATTATAGGATTATCCGAGGTCCGAAGAGAGGAGGACACGGTGATTCTCGAATCCGGCAACTTGTTCTATCACCGGGAGGGCGACCATCTGTCCCAAGGAGGTGTCGGATTTATCGTCCACAAGTCTCTCGTCAACAACGTTGTACAGATTGAGAGTGTGTCGACGAGGGTCGCGTACCTGATACTCAGAATCACCAAACGGTATTCGCTGAAGGTCATACAGGTTTACGCACCAACGTCGGCACATTCCGATGAGGAGGTGGAGGAAATGTATGAGGATATTTCCAAAGCCATACATTCCTCCAAAACCCACTACACGGTGTTGATGGGAGACTTCAACGCAAAACTAGGCACAAGAGAAAGCGGTGAGCTGAAGTTAGGGAAATTTGGAGTAGGGCAACGGAACCGAAGGGGCCAGCAGCTGGCCGACTTTATGGAGAAAGAGGGACTCTTTATGATGAACTCTTTCTTCCAGAAGCGGCCCCACAGGAAGTGGACCTGGTCGAGCCCCGACGGTTCGACAAAAAATGAGATTGACTTCATTATGACGACCAGACGCCAACTGTTCAGTGATGTCTCAGTGATCGCAAGGGTGAAAACTGGCAGCGATCACCGAATGGTTAGAGGCACACTGAACCTAAACGTTAAGTTGGAGAGGTCTCGTCTAATGAAGTCAACGCTCCGTCCCCCTCGTGCTCTGATCCAAAATCCCGAAAACTTTCAGCTCGAGTTACACAACCGCTTTCAGTGCCTACAAGATTGCAATGCAGTGGACGATATGAATGACAAGCTCGTGGAAACTGTCCATGCGGTCGGAGCTAAGTTCTGCAAGACCCGCCGCAGAAGAACACAAAAACTCTCCGATCACACTCTTAATCTCATGGCTGTTAGACGGGAGATGAGGCTGCAATCGTCAACAGATTTGACAGCATACAGGCAACTGAACAGACAGATCTCCAAATGCATGCGGCGAGACTTACGCAACTTTAATACTGCTCGTATTAAAGAAGCGATCGAGCGGAACCAGGGCTCCAAAGTCTTTGCCAGAGATCTGTCTGCCAGAAAGAGCCAACTGTCAAGGCTGAAGACTGAGTGTGGCAGCATCGTTTCCGGGACACCTGAGATTTTGAGTGAGATTGAGAGGTTCTATGGGCAGCTGTACACATCATCGTTGGAGCCACACGCAAGTGTGAGTAACGATCCAAGAGAAAGTCTTATCCGACACTATTCCGATGATATCCCGGACGTCAGTCTAAGCGAGATTAGAATGGCTCTCCAGCACCTTAAAAACGGCAGGGCCCCAGGCGAGGATGGAATTACAGCGGAGCTTCTGAAAGCGGGTGGAACACCGGTACTTGAAGTCCTTCAGAAGCTCTTCAATTCCGTCCTCCATGGTGGCACTACTCCAGAGGCGTGGAGCAGAAGTGCGGTGGTCTTGTTCTTTAAGAAAGGCGACAACGCTCTCTTGAAGAACTACAGACCGATTTCCCTTCTGAGCCGCGTCTACGTGCTGTTTTCGAGAGTCATTACGAATCGTCTCGCACGCAGACTCGACGACTTCCAGCCTCCCGAACAAGCCGGTTTCCGAAAAGGCTTCAGTACCATAGACCACATACATACCCTGCGGCAGATTGTACAGAAGACTGAAGAGTACAATTTGCCACTTTGCCTGGCGTATGTGGACTATGAGAAAGCCTTTGATTCCGTCGAAATTTGGGCGGTGCTGCAGTCCCTTCAGCGGTGCCAAGTTGACTGTCGGTATATCGAAGTGCTGAAGTGTTTGTACAGTAGGGCTACGATGGCTATCCGAGTACAGAACCAGAGCTCGAAACCTATCCAACTGCAGAGAGGTGTAAGACAGGGTGACGTTATATCCCCGAAACTCTTCACCGCTGCTTTGGAAGACGTTTTCAAGCTACTGGACTGGAAAGGATACGGTATTAACATCAATGGCGAGTACATCACTCACCTTCGATTTGCCGACGATATAGTCCTTATGGCAGAATCGCTGGAGGACTTAAGCACTATGCTCAATGACCTCATTAGTGCCTCCCAACGGATAGGTCTTAAGATGAACATGGACAAAACAAAGATTATGTTTAATGTCCATGTCACACCTATGCCGGTAGTTGTTGGGAGCACTATGCTCGAAGTTGTTGACGAGTACGTTTACCTGGGACAAATATTCCGACTAGGTAAGTCCAACTTCGACCGAGAGGTCAATCGACGGATTCAACTCGGCTGGGCAGCGTTCGGGAAATTACGACATATCTTCTCGTCAGGTATACCTCAATCTCTGAAAACTAAAGTGTACAACCAGTGCGTGTTGCCAGTGATGACTTACGAATCAGAGACGTGGTCCTTCACTGCTGGCCGTATGAGGACGCTCAAGGTCGCTCAGCGAGCTATGGAGAGGGCTATGCTCGGAGTTTCTCTGCGTGATAGACTCAGAAATGAGGATATCCGCAGTAAAACCAGATTGACTGACATAGCCCAACGGATTAGTAAGCTGAAGTGGCAATGGGCCGGCCATATAGCTCGAAGAACCGATAACCGATGGGGAAGAAAGGTTCTCGAGTGGCAGCCTCGTACCGGTAGGCGTAGTGTAGGGCGACCCCCCACTAGATGGAGTGACGACCTGGTAAGATATGCAGGAAGTCGATGGATGCAGGTGGCTCAGGACCGTGCTTTGTGGCATTACTTGGGGGAGGCCTATGTTCAGCAGTGGACTTGTGAAGGGCTGTGATGATGATGATGATGATGAATGTTGACTGCTTAGATTTGCTATCACAAATATCACTGAGAACACCTACAGTGAACCTTAGAACGAATGCATTACTATACTTATCAGCTTCATCAACTAATTATGTAAGAAATACTTTCTTATATCTAGTAATAATTTTAATAATTTATGCAAAAAGCATGATTTTGATTTGTTTAATACTAGCTATGTATCGGCAAGGCGGGCATTAAGTCGAGAGTTTTTTGTGTCGTAATTTCATTTATTTTAAGAACAAATATGTTGTGCGCTTAGCCCAGCTTTTCTTTTCTTTTGTGGTTATTATTGTTAGTTTCACTTATTAAATTTAAGCATGTTGTACATTTAAATTAGACTCCTTTTTGTTGCTCGTAATTGTGCTATGTCCTTTAAACGACGAAAGATTATGTTAGTGTATTTCTATTAGTGAGAACCTGTTATTGGCTTCTTGTAAATTAGAAATGTGTGGTATGCCGACCAAAAGTTTCTCCAATATTCGCTGAAAAATTGAAGTTGCAGATGCCAAGCCGTAAACTAATCTGTTATGTACAAAAAGACCTCTATGTGTGTTGACAACGGTGTACATTTTTGAATCGTCTAGTTCTATTTGGTTGTACGCTTCAGACAAATCAATTTTAGAAAACTGTTTTCCGCCGTTTAAATTATTAAATAAAAATTCAATGCGTGGAAGTGTACGCGTGCGTGATGATGCGTGAAAGTACCATTCAATTTCTAAGACCGGGTTAACGGTGCTTTTATAGTCGCCACAAATTCGTAAAGAACCGGACAACTACCCGCGTTATTATGGGGTCGATAATGCTCGGGACGAGCATGTCTTAGGAGGAGGCAGTGTTGCCCGCCACAGTTGATTACACTAGCGCCATCTGGTATCAAATATCAGAAATAGGAGTGTCAAGATCTTTTTAGAAGAATTAAGCTTTATAGAGAGCTCCACACTCGAACTTTCTGCACCTGGTCGGTCGAGGGCCGGTATTTGCTGGAATATTCTGAATGTTTTGGTGGGAAAGGTCTATTTAAAGCCGTTGAGTACCGCGACCGTGACAGTATTAAATTGGCGATACTAGCGAAGCTTTCGGAGCGAAATAAAGTGAACTAAATAATAATAATAATTCTTTATTGAACACAGAAATTAATATACAATTCATAGATACCCTGACTCCTAAACTAAGTTACCCTGTATGTTAGGAGGCAGTTTCCCTCCCATTCAGTTATCTTACATTCTGTGCACAATGCAGACTCTAAACATAGATCAAGAAAAATAAAAAAATAAACAAAGTGTGTACGATTTTCGTACACTTAGGACATTTGCCAATTCATATACTTTAGATGTTGGGTGTGTATAAGGAAGATTTAATATTAGTTTTAATATAGATCTTTGAGCTCTCTCGGCCTCTATAAGATACGTTTTGGGAGCTCCACCCCATGAGCAGATACAATAATTTATGAGACAATGACAAAGGCGTTATATGTCTCAATTATCAGTTTTTTTTGTCGCTACAGTTCTTAGGTTCTTAAATACTATAGTGAGTCTCCGAATTCGTTTAGATACATTTGCTATATGAGGTTGCCAATTTAATCTTTCATCGAGGATTACTCCAAGGTATTTTACCGTAGAGGTTCGTTCTAATATTGTACATTTACATTTCTCCTTTTTTTGAGACGTATTACACGTGTACGTATGCATGGTGACAGAAAAGCTATGTGGTGGTCTTGAGATTATAGTTTTATAAAAACAGATATATTTTGTTTTTGTACCATTGACGGTTAAAAGATTATTTTCCAGCCATTTTGTGACCACACGTAATCCATTTTCAGCACAATGTTGCACAGTATCCCAGTCTGTACCATGAAAGAGGATTACAGTATCGTCCGCAAACATAAAAAGGTCCGCACTATCGATGTTAATTTTACACAATTCATTTATGTACATCAAAAATAGTGTTGGTCCAAGAGTGCTGCCTTGTGGAACACCGTAGCTATGGTGTATTCGGCTTTATCGCTTAGCTTGTCACCAACACGTAATATTTGGGTTCTGTTTATAAGATAGTTACAAAACCATGCATACGACATACCTCTTATACCTAGATTTTCGAGACGTCCGAGAAGTATAGGAATAGACACAGTATCGAATGCTTTTTGCAAGTCTAAGAAAACACATATGCATTTATCACCTTTGTCTACATAAGGTGTTATTTTTGAAGTCAGTTGTAAAACTGCGTCTTCTGTTGAACGATGTGCCCTAAAACCAAATTGATTCGCAGCTAGATATCCGTAGCGCTCTAAATATTTTGTCAATCTTTTATTCACGAGCTTCTCAATTATTTTTGAAAAAGTAGGTAACAATGAAATCGGCCTGTAATTTGAAGGAGCGATCTTATTGCCAAATTTGTATATTGGTGTTACTGTTGCTTGTTTGATGGATGACGGAAATTGCCCTGTTTGAAAACTAGTATTACATAGATGTGCTAGGTGCGCATGATATACTTTTGACGAAATTGACAGTAATTTTGTCCCAGCCAGGGGAGCTATTTGATTTAAGTTCGTTAATGGTAGTTTTTACTTCCTCAGAATCTGTTAGGAAAAACGCCATCGAATGTGTTGGACCTATCTGTTTGACATTATCAGCAAGTTCTGGAACTGATTTGCCTATGGTGTTCAGAGTATAATTTGCAAGCTGTGAACTAATTTTAGTGGGGTATCTTTAATCGTTAATAATTCTGTCGTTGTTTGTTTGGATTGGCTTAGATTACAAATTTCTTTAATTATCTTCCATGTCTTTCTAACGTTTCCAGTACTGGTGTGAAGTTCGTGTTTGTAATACAGTCTTTTTAAGTTTTTTATTGTGTTATTGCATGTGTTTCTGTATTTTCTATAGTGTGATGCTAAATCTTCATTAGTGTTATCCTTTTTTAATTGTTTATGTAATTTGTCCCTCTTTCTTATTGATCTTACAACTCCCGGTGTTATCCAAGGTTTTAATGGCATATTTCTTTTAGAAAGAGTTATTCTAATTGTATTAGCTTTTGGGCGTATTAAATCTTTTATAATATTTGTAATGTACTCTGTAGCATCATTGACGTTGTCGATTCTGTAATATTCTTCCCAGTTAAGGTCATTCATACCTACAACTATCTTGTCAAAGTCAATTTTTTCTTTATAAAATTTAGTTGCGTTTGTACCAATTTTTACTCTGTCAATAAGTAATAAAATAGGGTAATGGTCAGTAAATTTATTAAAAACAATAGATGTAATGCTATATTGAGCTCGTACCATAAAATGATCTAAGCACGCTTCCATCCTTGTTGGTAGATAAACGCATTGTTTTAAGCCATGCATAGATAGCATATTAAGATATTCTGCAGAATACCCTTTTATAGCACAAGGCATAACATCTAAGTTTACATCTCCAGTTAGGACTACGATACTTGTATTTATGCTATTAAGTATTTTATCAAGTGATGTACTTCAAGTGATGATCAAGTGATGTAATACTTCGTTGGATTGCGAAAACTTGGTGATCTAAATGTACAGATGACCGTGGTGTCTGTTTCAACAGTCAGTATTAGTACATTGCCGTCATCAACTATTGGTTCATATGAAGTGACGCTTATGTTATTTTTAACGTATGCTACTACACCGTCATTCTGGTTAAATAAACGTTTAGTATAGTATGACGTGTAGGTATCTATTTCCGGTATTATGGAATCATCTTATATCCAACATTCAGTAAAAACTATAATGTCTACATTAAGATTCAATTGTGACATAAAAACTAAGAAAGCGTCTAAATTACAGTTGAGACTTCGTATATTAACACATAATACACAAAAAGAAGAAAAGTTTTTGCATTATGGTTTTTTACATCTTTACATAGGGAAGGATTTGTCAAGCTTATACCTTACCTCGTTTACTTGGTCAATCTCATCACTTACAGTTTCACTAGGAAGACCGAATATTAAAAGTTTTTATTTTTTTATGACTTATTCTCAGTGATGTTTGGAAACATTCTTTCATATATGGCATAAATTAACATATTATTTTGATTGCGTTGTAATAAGTAATAATTTTTCTAACAGACGTGTATATGTGAGAAAAATAACGTGTATTTGAGTTGGTTTTCAGTAGGAAGTTATTATGTGTGATTGTTTTTGTGTAAGTTATTGTATTAATTATGTGTCTGTATATGTTTTTTATTGTGTTGTATATGTTACTTATGGCTAACAGAAACATTACATAATAAGAATAAGCATACAAGTAAGTTCGGTTACATCGATAGTGTAAATCTAGTCATTTTTGCGTTTTTAATTTTAGGAAATCTGATTCCGTTTCTACACGTATTGTTGGCGAGCCCTCTTCTCTACGTAGAAATACCCTTCCATATGTTGTCCAGCAGAATTTAAATTTTTCTTGAGTAGCAAATTCTCTAGCCAAGTCGAATAATCTTCTGGTTTTAGTGCTGAGATTTTCCGAAATATAAATTGGAGTTTTGGGCCCCCTAATTTCCAGGTGTTCAGTGTTCAGCTTGTTGTGCTTATTTTCTTTATTGAAGGTTTTAACTGATTTGACTAAGCTTTATTTGACTAGAATTGATGTAAATTCAATTATCGGCTTATTCGTGGTATTAGAATTAGTGCGAAAGACGTCTTTGATATCAGATGGTTGAATTTGGGTCTTAATAACTGTACCTGTTTTCAGAATGAGATTTAACATGTCTTTTTTGATTTATAAACTATTTTTGGGTATATTTCGAATTTCCAGGCTATTGTTGCGGGTTTAGCGTTATAGCTGATCTATTTTAGCTTCCAATAATCGAATATAATTCTTATCTTCTTTTATGTCTTCTTCCATCTTTTGCATCTTATCTATAATTCCATCATATTTCTTTGATGTAAAGTCCACCGATTCTTTCAGTTTAATATTCTGTTCTTTTATTTCCTTCATAGTAACTTTTAAATCCATAAACATGCTCAGTATTTCGTTTTTGAAAGATGACATATCCGAATTTTCATCTGCTCCTCTTCTCCTTTTTGCGTTGGGAAACATAAGTCACTTCAACTTCTGTGCTATCTGTCATATTTAAGTTTGGTTCTGATTGACAAAGGGATTGAGAGGTGTTCACATTAAAAACAGGAGTCTTTGGGGGCGTTCTCTTTAGTGGCATTATTGGATAAACAATAGGATGATACTTCAGTTCTTACGTAATAAAATATCTAAAGGTCGCAATGGTATTATTGCAACAATAAGCAACTAGGCGCTTGATATTTACGTTTCGTATTGCTTTTTTATTTTTATAGGCGTTGTAAAAAATAATATCAGTGTAGGTAAGTCAAAATCAAATTAGTTGATAACACAGTAGCTAGTTCCAAATTCCACACACTGTATTTTAGTTATTAATGATAAGAGAAGTTGATAATAATAACTTTTAATGCACTTTTCAGTTCACTTTACACTTCTATAAATGGATACGTTCACTTTTACGTTAAAATGTGCACTTTTGACCGTTTTTCGTTATTTTTAAAGCGGAGTGATATGAACTGCGTCTGCTCAATTTGACGGCGCGCGGGAAGTTCAGTTAAAGTGTAAGTGTGAATAATTATTAGTGTGATTTAATTTTTAATTGGTGTTCAGTAATTAAAGTATCAATTTTGGTAATTCAATCGGCAGTTTTTATTGTCACGAACCCTAAGCTCGTAACAATATCGTCACTTGAATATTAGACCTAGTTTACATCACTATACGACAACTAAAGAACTATGGAGTGTATAAGTAATACTCCATATAAAGAACTGTCCTACCTCCATGGAGGTGAGAGAACAGGAGAACGATCGCTGCGTACTAAAGCATAGCCCGTCTATCCTTGAAAATTTGTAGAATTTATAGCAGCGCTGCCGTCGGCGAGTAGTGGCTGCGAAGTTAACTATTTATGAGTACAAGTAGATGGTTTTAGTTGAATAATGTACAAATTTTCTTCACGGCATTGGTGTGAAAATTTTCATGCTACGTAATTTCTTATTTTTTGACAAAAAGAAACATTTAAAAATGGAAAAATATTTTATTGTGCGAGCATGTGCAAGTAGTTTCGCATCTGATCGGAAAAATAGACTGAAAATGACTTTTATTGAGCGAACTTAGCGATCGCAGCACGTCACTTATGGTGTCAATATTCCTGGGACACTATTTTCTACGGCGATCGTTCTCCTGTTCTCTAACCTCCTTGGTTCTACCTGTCTCTGACTAGTATATGGAGTTTTGGCGGGAATTTGGCTGACGATGGACTGTCGCTACTGTTTTGTCACTTGAATAATGGTTTGAAGTGGATTTTAATTCGTAAAAGTGAAGTGATTTAGTGAATTAAGTGTCCGCGCGTGTGAACTATTCGAGAAAACGACGAAACAAGTGATTTGATGTTGATATAAACCTCAAGTTAATTTGATCGCTTGGGCGCCTTTTGAACTTGAGTGGCTGTCGCCATCAACAGTCCGCTGGGTTGAGCTGTCGTCAAAATCTTCCGAAAACTTCGCAATGTGACGCATCCGCATATTGTGAAGAAAAAATGTATAAAATGAAGATTTTTAAAGAAATGATAGGCTCAGAAGGGCTAGTACCCAGAGCCGTAAAGCCAGTTAAAAAAATGACTATTATGTGTAAGCATGGGTCATTGACGGTTTTTTAGTTAATGTAATTTAACTGTTAATCATTAATGGTCAACAGGTTTAAAAAGCTGTTAAATAAATAACAGGTTTTGAAACTTCAATTGTTAGCGTTTATCGTCAATTTAATATTTCAACGTTTTCGATAAATAACAGTTTTGTTGTAGATTAAGTTAAAGAATTATTGATTTGATAAGAATAAATTCGTATCTAAAGATTACTGTTTATTGAACTGCAATGACCATTCTTCGTACTTTTCCAGGCTTAGAACTGGCGTGGATTGTATATACAATATTCATGATTTTTTTCCTTTGTTCTATTTACAGTAACATATAAAAGCTCATAACTTGCGAAACGGCCTACATCTAAGTTAACATTTCAAAATAGCATTTTTTGCTGGTAGTTAGTCTTGTTCTCCCTTGATTTACAATTAGCCCCGATTTGGAGAACGTTCTATCGCATTGCACTGATGTTCCAGTCGTAGTACATTTTTCGAAGTAAACTTTGGCTAAGTTTGGATAAAAAATTGTGAGTTCTCCATCATTCCAAAGAATTCTTCCAGTCACCAGTAGTATTAGTACTTGTTAATATGTCGTCGGCCAAATAGATGTCCACTTCTTCTATGGCTTTTGATAACGGAGTGCCTGTGGTGGGAGGTGCCCATATTATTTGATCAAAAATATCCCGTGGACTGAATTAATTCTAGTTCTTGTCAATTCATTTTGATTTGAGGTTTGGGCCAGTGTTGCAGCATCAATTTTGGATATTTCGGTGGCGACGAGCATTCGTACTCTATCTTTTGTTTTGACAATTTCAGCGTGGTCTGCAAATCCCTGCATCTTAAATCAAGAGTCCAAGAAAGTACACAAACTAAATGTGTCACTTTGCTCTATCCCTTTGAATCTGTCTGATAAATCTGATTTCAAAAATGAAACTATATCGTGGACATTTGATGTTCGATTTCCTTTCTCTCATATTTTATTATAAGATTCTATCAGGCAACGTGTCGTTATTATGAGATAACACGCTGTCAAATATTTATGGCCACTCTTCGAATGGTTTCAACACCTGACATAACTGTTGGTAGGTGGTCCAATCTTCCGAAGTGATCGTCGACAAGTCTTTGTCTGCTAGCTTCTTAGTCTTTCTCTGCGAGCTTTTTTTTATGTGAGTCACAATGCATTTTATATTGTCTATTTGTCTTTGGCAGAGTAAACGTAAAAAATCGCAACGAATTTTAGCCTTGAACGAAGCTCACGGATTGTTTACACATACTAAATACAAAATCTTAACATATCACAAATTAACTTTCTTTACTTGCTCACGCTCACATACGCACCCACAAGACCGCGTCCGATGTGTTGATGCGGCGGTGTTCGGTAACCTCCGGAAGTAACGAATATTTCCGAGGGAGACTAAATTCACAGAAATGAATAAAATAATATTGAAAAAAAAAATGCGTTGAGTGCGTTGACGTAAATTGAAAGCTAATATTTTCAACCCACTTTTCATTAATGATTAACAGTTAACAGCTTGACGTATGAAAAGCCGTTGAAAAAAACAGTTTATTGATTCAACACCCACTTCTAATTATGTGTAGTTTTGGCAGGAATTTGGCCGTAGACGGATTGTCGCTCCTGTTTTGTCGCTTGAATTATTGTTTGAAGTGGATTTTGATTGGTAAAAGTGATGCGATTTTGTGAATAAAGTGTCCGCGCGTGTGAATTATTAAAGAAAACGACGAAACAAGTGTTTTGATGTCGATATAAACCTCAAGTTATTTTGATCGCTTGTGCGTCTTACGAGCTTGAGTGGCTGTCGTCATCAACTGTCCGCTGGGTTGAGCTGTTGTCAAATTCTCCCAAGGGCTTCGCAATGTGACGCATCAGCATATTGTGAAGATAAAATATAAATAAGAAGATACTGAAATAAATGTTAGGCTCAGAAAGGCTAGAACCCAGAGCCTCTAAGCCAGTTAATAAAAAAAATTAGTAGTATTAGTTGTCTGTGGCTTTGCCGGTGTCTACATCACAGAGTACCTTTGTATAAACCACAGAGTACCTTTGTATAAACTGAAAGTATATACTGAACTGGTCTAGATTTGAGGCATAGATTACTGTATCTGTATTATATACTAGGGTTTGAGGCTGTTCATGTTGTTTTGCATGCTGCATTTAATCTTTTTTCGTAATAGAGCTAATAAGTTTAATTACTTAACAATTTGCTTTCTATAATATATCATTATGTTTTTTAAGTTTATTTTAATATTCATTATATGCATTTGTCCATTAAAATCCGATAGTGTTAGTTTACAAAATGCTAGTGATGAAGATTTACTGCAATTAATTAAAGAAAAAGAGAAAGTTATTGTTTTATTTTGTAAGTTTTAACAAATTAGCAAGATTTTATTGTGATATACAGTTTACTTAATACATTTAATGTTGCTTTTTGTTTGGCAAACTGTTTTTATTTATTTAAAATTATGTTCTTTTTATTTTTATTAACATTATTGAGAATAGATGCAGACGTAGAAAATAATGTTTAGTGGCCAGCGCAAGAGAATTTTTCGCCTTGTGGGTGTCAAAGTGATTAATCTTGATGATAGAACATCTCGTTTACGCTCCGACCGGCGCGGCGCGGCGGTCTGTTTATTTTGCATCTAGCAGCTGCGTCAAAAGCGCAAGATATCTGGTACTGCAATGTTCAGTCCTGCCAAGCATGACCATTAAAGCAAATCGCTACCACAGTAGAGGCCCATTACCTGAAGTGGTCATTCACGGTCTGATGAATAGAAAATATTAGAATAATATTTAATTTATGATTATCTTCAATTGTTTAAGGATATGTAGATTGTTAAGTGTTACTCATTTGGTGTAATAGTTGGTGACATGACTTATATATATATGGTCTTAAGTTCAAATCCCAGCTAAGAGCAGAAAGTTGTGCTAAAGGAATAATAGGTTATCTTTCAGTTACAGTCATATGGTAACAACAATACAATTAATGACTTCTTGGGTAAACTACAGACGTCCGGTACTCGCGTATGGTGTTCGGAGGGGGAAGTGAGGGGGTCATGAGAAGCCCCCCCTACCCTTCCCACATTGCACCTTATGAGTAATAATTTTTTTTTGGTAAAATTATAACCTCACGTTTTTATACAGGAATATTGACATAAAGTTACTTCTGCAAAGGCCATACGGTGTTGGGAAAGGGGAGGGGGATTATGGGAAGCCCTCCTACCTTTCCCCCGTCGCAGAAATGTATAGTTTATGAGTAATATTTTTTTGTAAAATCATAACCTCACTTTTTTATACAGAAATATTGACGCAAAGTTACTTCTGCAACGGCTTCGGCACTGGGAGAAGTGCAGCCCCTTGCCCAACTTTTTATTACTTTGTGTAGCAAATCGCAGGCACCTAAGTGAGCCGTAGTGTTTATGGCTGGTCGCCGCAGATAACCAATAAGCCAAAGCTGCGGAGGCATGCATATAGCAGGCGGGGGCTGCTATCCCTCCATGCCTACGGCTTTACAAAAACACTCAAGGGGTAGGGCAGACAAGACTACATGCTATGTGGAGTCGGAGTCTGGTTGCTCTTAACTCTGATATAGTGGTAAATGAAATAATGTAATGTGAATTGTTATAATTTTGTTTTTTGAAAAATCTCTTGACTACTCTCCACTGCGACTCACTTTGTTGTATATAAGTCCTGTATCCAACCACAAATGGATTGTCTGGGTCCGAGTAATCTAATCTAATCTAAATCTTTTATGAGTGTATCTTTATTAAAAAAACAAATTGACATATTTGCGTTTCGTTATATGCATTTTTAGTGAAATTTATTTTTATCGTAATTAATTCAAAAGGCATTTCCGAAATACAAAAACAGTGTAAATGGGTCAAGCTTAACCCTGACAATCCTCCTAAATTGAAAACAAAATTAAAAAATCAAGTACCGGACATCTACTTCATAATACGAGAACAAATTGACATATTTGCATTTCGTTATTACTATGGATGGGCCGAATATGGATTTCACCGAATACGAATATTCGGTAAAACTTTTACCGAACCGAATATTCGGCCGAACATTATTCGTCAGGATAACCTTGGGACCTAACCAAGTTATGTCGAAACGTAAAGCTCGCGGGACTAGCGCCGGACCCTGCCTCTTGCTCCCCACCACACCTCACAGTTATTGCATCATCTAGTACTGAGCAAATTGCCGGCACATGCTGATGTTTTGACTATTCTTGTGATAAAAAAAGTATTTCGTTGTTTTATTCTTAGTGAAAATTGATAATTATATAATAACAATGAGCGGCAGGACTTATTTTAGAGAAACTGACTACCAAAGTAAAGTGAAATGTACTAATGTAAGTAATGTAATGTTTCTTTGTTTGATTCCAAAAACATTTCATCAAGTTTCTATTTTCTATAATCGGAAATAAACCTACAGCGCCTCAAAAACATAAATGTATAGATTTATGTACTTAAGGCCGTAAGTAGATTTAACCCATAAATAAAATATACTTTCAACAATAAAAGACATCGCATTACTCAATTCATACATTTCAATACATTGGACACTATGAAAACAAATATTCGGTGATTTAGCCGAATATTCTGTAAAGTTGCCGAATATGTCGAATACTGAATATAAAACGAATATTCTGCCCATCTCTAGTTATTACACAATTTTTAGTGAAATTTGTTTTTATCGTAATTAATTCAAAACGCATTTCCAACATCTAAAAACAGTGTAATAGGTTCAAGCTTAACCCTAACAAGCCTCCTAGACTAAAAACATCAAAATCAAGTACCGGATGTCTATAGCCAACCCGATTTCTTAAATTTATGCAAACACTACACATTGAATAAAACTGACATTTGGGTCGTGGATCACCCATGGTCACGGGGAGGACTGAGATGTTTGACATCAACATCTCAGTTTTCCAAATCTCATTATTTTTAATTGTACTCTTGTGACCATATAATATGTGCAACTCAGATAGTATTATCATATTGTAACTGCTATGTAAAGTAGCAGCCTATATGCGTACCGCAGCTGGGCATAGGCCTGCTCTCATTTCTAAAAGGGTTATAGAGCAGTTTTATTGCCACATTAATTTAGTATAAAACTTTACAGGGCAGGAACTACTCTTTTTTTTAATTCAGCACAAATTAAAACAGGCTATGTAGGCATTCCTTGGGAGAGGTCTTTGTCCAGCAGTGGATTTGTGAAGAGCTCTAATGATAATGATGATGATATATATTAAAGATGTCTATTAATATTTTTCACAACTCCATATCTAAGTGCATATTTTGCATGAATAATTTTCTAAATACCTTATAAATTTTTTTAAGATTTTAACATAGATGTTTTACAAAGTACACGGCTTTCTACAGAATTAGAAAATAAATTGTTAAATTTTAACTTACGACCGAGTATTTGCGAGCCTACACGTTTACAAAGTGGCAAGTGTATTGATAATATAATTCATAATATAAGAGGCAGTAAAGGTGAAGTGATAGATCTGGGAATATCAGATCATACTGCTCAAGTCTTAAAATGTCCTGTTAACAAAACATACACTATCTCTCATTGGTTCATGTTAAAACGGGATTACAGCATAGAAAACTTAAATAAATTTAAAAATGCCATCAGAAGTCTCAGTTTTAATAGTGTTTATGAATGTCTTGATTCTAATGAAGCGTTTAATGAATTCAATGAATTATTTAAACTATTTTACGATCTTTGCTTTCCGACACTTAAAATTAAAATTCTTATAAATAGAAAACTTACTTGGGTTACTAATGGTATTAAATTGTGTTGTAAACGTAAACGAGAAATGCTATAGCATTCTCGACTACACCCTACCAAGGAAAATAAGAGAAAGCTTAAACTTTATAGTAAACGGTTAAGAAAAAATCATTAATTTGACACAAAAATCGCGCAATAGTTATTATATCAACAATGCGGAGAATAAAACAAAAGCCACATGGAAAGTAATAAATAAGAATAAATACAACTTACCTAAAGATAATATTACAAAAATTAATTTTAATAATAAATATATATATGATCCCGAAAAAATTGCTGAGGAATTTAATAATTATTTTATCAATGAAGTTCAGCCCATAAACCAGTTTAGTAATAGTCACCAAAGTAACACATCCATAAGTAGTAGACTGAACTCAATGTTTATGCCTGCATGTATTCCTCACGATTTATATAAAATAATTAATAAATTAAAAAATACTAACAGTGCTGGTAATGATGATATAACTACAAAAGTAGTTAAGTTAGTGGCCGTTGAAATTTCCCCAGTTCTAAGTTACGTAGTGAATTTATGTATTGAAAATGGTACTTTTCCTAGTACTTTAAAGATATCCGTTATAAATCCTTTATATAAAAAGGAGGACAGACATGACCCTAAAAACTACAGGCCCGTCGCTTTGCTTCCAACATTCTCCAAAATAATAGAAAAAGTAATATATAACAACTTATATTCTTATTTGGAAGTTAATAACATCTTAGCAAACGAACAATATGGTTTTAGAAAATGTAAAAACATAAATATGGCCATGTATGGATTTATTGAAAAAGTGATCACCGGTATGGATAATCGTACACCAACAACCGCCTTGTTCATGGACATGATCAAGGCGTTTGATTACGTTGATTTAAATATCTTAGCGCTTAAACTGGAAAAATATGGAATCAGAGGTAATGTGTTAAATCTTATTATATCATACCTGAATGATAGGAAACAAATGACTAAAATAAAAAAAGATCTGTCCTTGTACTAATATTGAAATAACATACCTTTCGCATCCAAAACAAACAACCTACGGTGTGCCGCAAGGAAGCGTACTCGGTCCATTACTATTCCTAATATATATCAATGATTTGCCCCAGGTGACTCAGCACCCTATGACCTTATTTGCTGATGACAGCACAGTTTTATTCATGGGACGAGACAAGGTATCAATTGAAACGGACATAACTCAGAATTTATACAGGATAATAGATTGGCTGAATGACAATAATCTTAAAATTAATTTGGATAAAACGCATATTATGTCATTCAAACAAAGAAAAAAACAACCAAAAATTAATATTAACTATAAAACTAAAATCATAAATGAAAAAGAACACACAAAATTTCTGGGAATTTGGCTGGACGAAAAAAATGACATGGAGTAAACATATTGAACACATAATAAAAAAGATAAATCAATTCCACTATGCACTACATAACCTTATAAAAATTACAAATCGTCAAACAGTCATAACCGCCTACCATGCATACGTCTCTTCAACATTGAGATATGGTATAATATTTTGGGGAAATTCTCCAAAACGCGAACTAGTATTTAAAGCGCAAAAGAAATGTTTACGAGCAGTATGTCAGTTGCAGGTTACCGATAGTTGCAAACCGCATTTCAGTGATCTTAACATTCTGACCCTACCATCTTTATATATATTTGAAGTAGCTATGTTTGTAAGGAAACATTTAGGCATATTTGAAAACGCTAATAATAAACGACATAGGAATAAACTACGCACAAAACCTTATAAAACAGCCCTGTATTCAAAAACTTTCCTGGGTATGGCGCCTAAAATTTTTAATAAACTCCCAAAATACATCAAAGAAACTGATAATATAGCCAAATTTAAGAAATTGCTTTCGAGTTTTTTAATATATAAAGCATACTACTCTATCAACGAATACTTTAAAGATAAAATGAATGGTTTTTAGTACCTGCAATAATTAATGGACGATTTATTTATTATATGTTTATATTTATGTTATAGTGCCAGTGATAGTGATAAACAAATATTTGTATGCCTTTGTAGGCGAAACATAGTGTTACGTATCATACCTTTTCCACGAAGCTTGTAACTTTTTATACCTATGTTTTACTAAATAACTTATTTGATTTGATTTGATTTTTCTAGATAAGTGTAATCTCTAAGAAAAAAATATTTTTTCCAATACAGTTAGAGATATCAGGAGATGATAGAAAAACAAATTGTATGATTTTAGACATTTTCAAAAGTATATAACAAAAAAAGCATAGACATTTTGGTAATCTTATCTCAAGAGTACTTGAATTAAGATTGGGTTGACTTAGGAGGTAGCTGACCTAAATGTTGTTCAGAGAAATGGCCTTCTTTGTGCTAATTATAATTTTTATTTATGTTTCAGCAAAAACAAACTGTCCAGTCTGTGATAAATTTGAGCAGCATTTGGAAAGCTTAAGCGAAGACTTTAAAAAAGAATTAAGTGCATTTACAGTTAAGACTGAAAATAGCCATCTAGTTCGTCTGTACAGTCCTAGTAAAGAACCAGCTCTAGTATTCTTTAGACATGGTGTCCCTCTGTTATATAATGGTAACAGCGTTTTTTATAAACTTTTTTTATTTAACTATCATAAGCCAATGCTTGACAACTATCCCACCTGATGATAAGTTGTGATCCAGCGAAGAAGGTTTTTTACGTGGTAGAGCCATGCTGCAGCTATATTATGGTTGTAGCATGAATGGCTCGGCTCAATCGGGGAGGACCACACTCTCACAGAAAACCAGCGTAAAATAGCAGGTGAGTGTAGAAATCCGGAGACCCGTTTTACTGGGATAGAGGCATTCCATCTTAGTCCTCAAGGGTGACAACGCATCTGCATTTTGATTCTTAATCGAATGTAGCACTCGATGGGCCACAGCATCCACTTATCATCAGGTGGACTGTGAGCCTGTTTGTCACCCTTATCCTTTAAAAAAAATAGAAGGCAAAACGAACTGACTTAGTAAAAGCCTACACAGTCATTGTCTTGAAGAAACCCATATTGTAATGGGAAGGAACGACAAGTGAAATTTTTTGCCAGCATCTGTTTTACACATTATGATGAAGCAAGCCTAACAAATTGACCTACCATGAAATGGACCGTGAAAAAGATGGGAGAACAGAACTAAAGTACGAAACTTATCCAATTACAGAAAAGTTTAAGGTAAGTTAACATTATATCCCCAAAACTCTTCACTGCTCCATTGAAAGACCTTTCCAGTGTCTCTAGTGTTATTGTTAATGTTGTGCCATCCTTGAGGTAGGCCTATTCAGCAGTGGACTTGTGAAGTGCTGTAATTTTAATATTTTTTTAATAGATGTGATCATTTTCACGTTTTTAAATCATTGTTTATCTCAAATATTTTTTTATACTCTAGAGATTCATATTTCCTATTTTCGACTAATTATACAACAAATTGTTAAAGGTGAACCTGATGAAAATGAAATTTATGGATTCTTTGAAAAAAACCAATCACCTGCTGTTAAGGAGCTCACAGACAAAATATTTGAGCATATGACGCAAGCAGCTACAGGGGCAACAACAGGAGATTGGTTTGTCATGTTGTAAGTACATAATTAAATATTTTGTTTAACAGTAATTAACAATACATGAGCACTACTTATTTGAGAATAATATCGTAACTAATAAAATGTAAAGATCCATCTATCTATCAATTGTTTTTAGCAACTTTTGTGGTGTTCAGAAAGAGTATAATGTTTAGCAGGTATGCATAAACATTATTACATTATACATCATGTTTCTATGACCTTACGTAAAATTAAATTTTGTCCCCAGATGTCAACAAATATTTCAATCAATTTGTCATAACTCATAACTGTAATAAATGTGATCCTTCTGCATCGGCGGCATTAAATTCTCAAAAAATTATTACCTAAAAATTCTTTAAAAAGTTAAATTATTAAAAGTAAAAGCCGGCTTTAAAGAACTAAGAAAAATAAAATCACATTCTGAAGTCGGTGCTTTAACTTTTTTTTAAATATTTTTTTTTACCCTTTCAACAGCTAAATACTTAAACACAACTTAATTTTAAGATGTCGTTAAGGCTCCTGCTGTCACAGTCACTTTGACTTAAAGTGATAGAGACTGCACGAGACTTAACAGCATCTTAAATTTGAGTAGCGGTTGAGTATTTGTGCATAAGTGAACTAAGAAAAAGCACAATCTCAATGTCGTCTACATATATAAAACACACAGTCAAATTGTGAACGTCATTTTTTGATGTCGGCCAAAAATAACAATCAACAATTGGTATAATGCATGGTATCAAATTTAAAAAAACATACTAAATATATAACATAACATGTTGTAATATATTATTTAAAATATTGTTTTTTAAGCATAAACAGTCGAAACTGTCGTGTCACCAGTACACTATGTGCTCACTAAACAATGAATATAGTTTGTGAAATTTGTGTTTCCTTCTCGTACTGTTTCAGTTATTAGTTCAAACCTGCTATAGCAGTTGGGAATCGATTTGTTGATTGAATGTTTTATTTTTGCACCAATCAATTATATATTTTTTTTCATTTGATGAGATCAGCTGTCGTCAATGAGTGCGATCGTCCATCCGCCTGCTAAGCCTGACGATTAAGACAAATCCTCCCTACGACGGAAGATACCCATGTTTGTGCAACAGTAGACTTTTACGGGCTGATGAAGAAGATGAATTAAAAAAACATTTTAGCGTTTTTAACCGACTTCAAACATCGGAGGAGATACCCAATTCGACTGTATTTTTTAATGTGTTGATGATGATTCTTTTTTATTTGAAAGTTGATGCTTCTCATATGGACCCATATAAATTTGATCATAATCCGACCAGTAGCTTTTGAGTTCCCTTAATAATGAGTATTCAATCTTAGACTACACTGATGATGTTCTCATTTTGCTTATATTTAAGTCGGTTGTACAAATTATAATTTTACCACTTGTTTAATCTCACAGAATACCAGCGTAAAATAGCAGCTTAATGCTGCTGGGTTTCATATGGTGATTGTAGGAAACCCGAGACCCTTTTTACTGGAAACATGACATTCCATCCCAGTCCTCAGGGGCGACAACGCATCCGCATTTTGATTCTTTATTGAGGATAAGTAGGAGTCTATGGGCTACATCATCCATTTGCTATCAGGTGGATTGTGTGCTCATTTATCACCTTATTCTATAAAAAAACCTTTAATATTTAAGTGATCACTGATCAGTGATTCATTTAGATTTACTTTTTTTCAGTTATGGTGCCTCATGTGTGGAGTGCCAAAGATTGCATGCAGTTTGGGAGAGTGTTGGGGCAACACTACGAGGCCGTATTAATGTTGCTCGTGTAGACGCTAATTTAGCAGGTTTAAATACTGCCAAAAGATTCAAAATTACTAAACTACCTTCTTTTCTTTTGTAAGTTATCTTATATTAAGTTTTAAATATATTGTTAGGATCTATTTTGATCCTCAAAAGAGTGCTTAAGTACTTCATTCGGAGGAGCACATTATGAGAAATATTATAATTGACTCATTGTTAATTATTTCAATCGAATTTTGACAACTAACGAAGTTATTATTTATCAATAGTGTCACAATTCTGTATTATATCAGGATTATAAATAAATAAGTATTTTAAGTAGGGGCTAGCAATGCGAGTAACGAAAATTTAAGCAAATAGCTCAAAAATTCCTTAAGAATGGTAGCAAATTTATGAAAACGAACAAGTTACAGAAATTATACCAGCTGGTCGAAAGCTTAAAAGGTGATATGTAAAGCCAATATCTGTATATATATACACATTTGAGAGTCAAACCATAGACATATGTCTAAGAATCTTCGTATGGAGCCTTTATTGACGTGACAACGTCTAATAAATCGACGAACGCTGACTGCATGCACGAAAAATGATGACTCATTGTCCCGTTACGCTCCAGGCAAACCGAGCACGATCGGAGCGAGAGCGCGGCACGGACGAGCGAAAGACACGATTGGCTTTAGCAATGTAGATTTCATTTCACTCCTTTGTATCCATACACAAAATAGTGATAATTCAATCATATATACAGGGAGGGGTTAGCCAAGATTACATTCTACGATCGTTTACTAGCTGTTTATAGTTTCTATATGTAGTCACGCCATGTGACCGTTTTCGTCACAGTTTGGTTTTAGTTTTAACCTTCTTTTTATTTCTGTTAGTATGTATCAAGTAGATATTGTTCGATTGATGAAAGTACGGTTGCCAAAGAAAATTACGATAAAGAATTAAACCAACATAGCCCTTTAAAACATTTTTACGGTACAATCTTATAACATAGTATGGTATAAAATGTGTATTGTGTTACATTATAATCATTTATTATATCATTTACTTTCCAGCTTACGATTGGGTAAAGTGTACAGGTATGATTTACCGAAGACCGATGTTAAATCATTCGTGACATTTGCGCAGGATTGGTATAAAAATTCTAAAGCGGAAGTAGTGCCGCTTCAAGCCTCGCCCTTGTGAGTAGCTATTTTCTTAAGTGTTACATTTATTTTATGTGTTTATTATTGTTTTAATTCATAATAATAGTGCTGCTTGTGCTATACTCTATGATCGGAGATTCTCTGTGTGAAAGTAACTTAACGAAGATATCCGCAGTGGGATTAGAGTAACTGATATACGTGATATACGTAATTCAACAAATCAGTAAGCTAGGTCATAGTATAGCCTGTTCAGGTGTAGCATAAATATTTCGGCTCGACTAACAAAAGAACACGGTCTAACAGAATACTAGTGTAAAATTGCAGCTTAATGTTGCTGTATTTTGTATTGTGAATGTAGAGAACAGGATACCCTTTTTTACTAGAAATGAGGCATTCTATGTTAGTCCTCTGGGGGATAACGCATCTACAATTTGATGTTTATTCGAAGATAGATATAGATTTCTGTGGGCCACAATATCCACTTACCATCAGGTGGACGGTGTGTTTGTATGTCACCGTTATTCTATAAAAGAATATTTTCAATATTTACTTCGTAAGTGAGATTTTATTTACTAAAGTCTAATTAAGTGTCAACACGCCTTTGCCCAGTTATTTATATTTAACTCAGACCAATAACTTACAAAAATTCATGATTAACTTTTTGTGTTACAGTGATGAAGTAGTCGATTGGTGTGTGCAAATCATTAAGTATAGTATTGCATATGGATTGGATATGTTAGCCAAATATCCATGGATTTGGCAAATTGGCCTGGGGGGATTCAGCCTAGTTGCAATCACAGCTTTGATTGCATTAGTTAAAGCTGGAAAATCTAAGACGGCAAAAAATATCAAAAAGGAGAAAAAGAGTAAATAGTAGGAACAAAATATTTACTAATAAAAATGTATTGGATATTATATTTCTCGAGTAAGTTGTTTCCAGTTGATCTCCTGTTTTATATATCCTGGAAAAAAAAAGAATTATATTACATTCCTCTTATTTTTTATCATCTATTTTTTGTAATCCGTCCAAAGTTGACGATTTTGTAGCGATAAGTTTGCAATCTACATATAAAAGCAGCTACATCGTTTTTTATTTTTATATAAAATTATAATAAAAATTATGTATATTAATATCAATTTACTTTAATTTGTCATATCCTTCTATATATTGTAATTCATTTTCATATGTAAGTGGAGTAATAGCATTGTTGATGATACAGAAGTGGCTATCGTTTTTTGCGGGGGCAAATCTGCGCGCATAAATAAACGTCTGTCTTTACCATAGACATAGAGATACACTGGATGATCCGTCTTTAACTCGCTGAACCTAGGCCCCACTTGATTTTTTTTTTTGAGTTTTTATATTTTCTTCATTGCTTGTTCCTTGTTCGTTATTGTTCGAACATAAAAATTTTTTCGTCGTTCGTTCGTCTTTTAATTATTATAATTAATTAAACAGATTTCATCCTTAGGTTGGCGCCCCTTATTGTTAATTTTTTTTTTTATACGTTGCCCGTTCGCATTATACGTTGGCCCAACCTCAACCAACGTGAGCGTAGGAAAATTGATACAAGGTGAGTGCTACAGTTCACGAGTTTTTGTGGAGCTATTGACATGTTAACCGTAATTAGTCGTCATTGAGAAGATATGATATGGACGACGTAGAAGAACACTTTGTCGAGGTTATATTTACTCAATAAAATTATTTTAGATTTTGGAGCTACTAAGCAGTTTAGCAGCACACTTCAAACCGGCGACAACTGCTAAGTTCATTTCATCCCAGTTGCTACTCCAGCGCTGTTGTGGAGAGTTTTTGAACTGTTATTTACTGCTTACGGATGGAAACTTTTTCAACTATTCTATTATGGGAGTTGGTACTCCTTACTTGTACACTCCATACTGATCAGGTATATAAAAAGTATTCTGTGGTAACTGACATGGCCGACTGATGTGGACGCGACTTCAGTGTAACCATCTTTAAAATACAGATTACAGATCCTGCCTTACTTTGGAAAAAAACCTGCCAAATGCTGTAGTGAAAAATGCCTAAATACTGCCAACTTTATTTACCATTGTATTAAACATTTCATCACATTACGCAAACGGCACATTGTGTTCTACGAAAAAACCAGACATGTTTAGCTCTGGCTTTTTAATTTATTTTTGCAAGGAAGATTTCTTAAAGAATTTTTGCACCTGAAATAAGTCAGTGAATCTATCTATCTAATAATGCCTTTAAACGAGCAATTCTTGTGTATATATATAATTGGAATCTCGGAAACGGCTCCAACGATTTTCATAAGATTTAGTGTCCAGGGGGTTTCGGGGCCAATAAATCGATCTAGCTAGGATTTTAGAAAATGTCATTTTATCCGTGTTTTCAGGCAATGAAAAACTGCTAAAATATCGTTAGAATAAGAAGGTAAATTTTGGGTACGTTAACGATTATAATAGCTCAAATGGAATATCGGTTGGTCCTGAAATCTTAGTACCCTCGTTCGAGTTCTGTCTTCGGTCACTTTTTCCTTTTTTTTCAAGTTCCCTTCTTTTTTGAGAAAATCTCTATTATTTCGAGCCCTTTTTTTAGTATTTTTTTAAAAACACGAAATTTAAATTAAACTAATTGCACTTATGATTTTTTATTCAAATAACCAGTTCAAATTTTTATGTTATGTTGGTAAGATCAAAAAATATTATTCATAATTCATCAGTATGTAATTTGTATCTAAATATAATTTCCAAAACACACGATTTAAAAAAATATACCGAGCAAAGCTCCATCATCCAGGTACAATACGGCCGACGTATCTTGGCGAGTCTGAATATAGGCTCTGCGAAGTTTAGCGCATGAACACTCGTGAAGAAAACTGTTATTGTCATTTTTTTATATATACCAATGTACAAATAAAATTTCCCTAATACAGTGACCAAAAATATCAAAACACTTTGGAGACATTATAAATTAAAGATTCAATTTTGATACCTCACCTTTCGATAGGGGCAGATTTTATCACAAACACATACAATATTATTTACATTTAATACTTTTTATTTATTTACACTTATTATTATTTAATCACTGTCGCTGAGGGGGGAAATTCCTAACATAAAGTCGTCGGCCCCTTGTGTACCATGTGAGGTACTTGGCATAGGTTCATCTTCGTAATCGTCGCTCTCACTTTCAGACTCACTTTCTGAATCTGAAGCTGTATTAATGATGAATAATTGATCCGTCATTTCGTCAATAATATGGTCGCTCTTCCTATAGTCATGTTCGACCTCTTGCACTTTTCTGCATAAAGCACTCCATTCATTCTGACCCATTAAATTTACTTTTTCTTGTATGAGCTCCATTGTCCGGGTTACGTTCCAGTCGACGTTTTTAGCGGCTACGTGCCCTTTAATGGCAGCCCACACCATCTCGATGGGGTTTAAATCGGGATGATATGGGGGTAAACGAAGGACATCGTGGTTGTTTTGTTTAAACATTTCATCTATTACGTATTTTTTATTCACGTCTTTGTTTTTTTTTATTAGATCGTAAAGTTGTGGTTTACGCATGTCCTTTTCATATGGTATACCCTTTTCTAATAACCACGATTCCATTTTTGCCTTCTTGTCATTAGATGTAGGGGCAGGATCCATTAATTTGTTGTGGTACGGAGCATTATCGATAACCACCACCGAGTTAGGGCTCAAATTTGGAATCAGTTGGGTCCGTAACCATTTCTCATAATTTTTGAAATTCATGTCATCATGATAGTCTCCGGTTTTGCTGCCAGATTTGAACATTAGTAGCGCGTTCGGAACAAACCCTGCTTCTGACCCAGCGTGTACCATCACTATCCGCTGACCTTTTGATATCGGGCGCTTTAGTCCTTGAGCGGAACCATCTGACCACGCCTTACCTTTTGTATGTGATGAGTGGGCATACGACTCGTCAGTGAATACAATTGGTCGCCCTTCGTCCCTGTATTTTTTCATTGCCTTCAAGTACAAGATCCTTTTCAGGCGAATGTCGGTCTTCTCTATAAGAACCATTCTATTGGTTTCGGTCTTTCGCCACTTGAAACCCAAGTTTTTGATAATTGTCTTTAAGCTCGTTTTACCACCTTGAAAATTTATATCCCGTTTGAGTTTCGCTAGTAATTTGTTTATCGTCGGCATTTCTTTTTCAGTTTTGTGGAAGTTGTGTATGCATCTTTTTACTACTCCCTGGTCAAAATTATCCATATCAGTAATAGGTTTTGATCTAGACATTTTTTTACCAGGCGTGCGGAATACTGAAAGTAAGCCCGAAATATTGCCTTCAGTTGCGATCCGCTGTACTGTGCGTTGGGACACACCAGTTGCGTTAGCAACTCTTAAATAAACTTTATCGACATCTTTTACGCCTTCTTCTTTTTCTTTTTTCATATATTGCGTTAAATCGTAAATAATTTTTCTCGCCTGGCGATTTAACACACTGTTATGTTTTGGTGGCATGTTTGGCGAATAATATAAGTGCTAACTGACACTTGCAAATAAAACAAACAAAACAAACTTAACACTATTAATAAAAACAAACAACAATAACAACGAAAACTTTTGTAACCGACTGTGCTCAAGACAGAGATAGCGACACGAACACGACACCAATGCTAACGTGTGACTGAGAAATATTACCGTGTACCGAGCATTGCCGAATAAGCACGAAGCTTTACGAAGTAACCAGAAAGGGATGTCCAACACGCGTGCCTGAGGGTGTTGTTTAATCGATTTTTATTCAAATCGATTAAAATTAAGACATAAAAATATATTTATTTGCAATTTATAAGGAGGTTCTAAATTTTCTCAAATAGTCGTTACTCAAGAAGACGTTAATAGATAATTGATATTTAAGTACATTATGTCTTTCAACTGAGAAAATAATATGTTTTTAGTTTTTTTTTTATTTAAGTCGAAATCTTGTTTATTATCAACAAAATTCACTATATTTGTAAATCTATTTCGTTTAATATCTTATATAAACAAAAATCAATAACTTCTAAATAAAACTAATCGATTGCGATATTTTATGACTAAAGGGTCGATTGTGTTTACTTATGGTCAATCTCTAGCCTAGACCACCGCCCCCCGTACGTCGCCTCATGCCACCATTTTGTTCCTTAAAAAAGCTATTGCGCAACCTTCTGCGCGAAGGTCGGACTCGCCAAGATACGTCGGCCGTATTGTACTTTACTTTAAAATGCAACATACATTCTTGTGGGTGTAAGATTACATAAATAAACAAACGTTACCTAGCACTGCGATACGATGTTCGACCTGGTAAAAAATAAATATACCTATTACAATCTGTTTAGTGTATTATACTTACTCAACACTGCCCACTGAATTCACTCATATTTTTTTGATATTTACCAGTAGCGGAATGCTCCTTTAAAGCGGACAATGGGATGCCAATTTGCAGTTACAGGTTTTACAAAAGACCACGTCTGGATCATCTTTAGCTTTGGAGATCCACGACGAATGTAAAGGATCTTACTCCTGCTCCGCTCTATACGCCCTATCATAGTTTCGCTTTATCACCACTACTAATAATTACCAGCGTCCACGAAATATTATTAACAAGATATCGCTAACAATATGTTATCACCGTGAAATCTAATGCGATACCTATATAAGAAAGTACTCTGTATGCGATACAAAACTAAAGTACGTTCTTCTATGACTGATTGAAATATTAACCATAAACTCGTGTTTATGAATATTTGTTTTAAGATTATCAACTTTACAAACAAACTTTTAAATTGCTTATTGAATGTGATACAAACATAGTACGAGAAGTACAGTGAAATCCCTGGCGAACCACATGCTGGCGAAGAATCTAGGGTTACCATTTTCAGCATTTTGAGCTGCCATAATGAAATCTATTTTTAATACCCCGATACTGCCAAATACTGCCAGGTTTTATAAAACGTCAACCTATCATGCCAGAGGCTAAAGTCCAAGTAGAGGCCAATCCTGCCAAAATAGCAGGAACCTGCCACATATGGTCACATTGCGCGACTTATCGAGTGCAGGCGAGCGCATTTGATTTGTGCAAAAAAACCGACACTGTTCCGAAGTGGACGATTCGTAGCTAGCGATCCCGAGTGGCGGCAAGGCACGCTAAACGAACAGTATATGGAGTGTAGAGGTAAACAGTATACACGTTGGCGCTCGCCTGCACCAATGGCGGGGCTGAACAAATGGGTTGTCTATACGTTGCTGCTCGCCTTCGCTCGGCCAACATGTATAGCCGGCTTCAGATGTTTCCTTTGACTGAGCCTGAAAAACAAATATGCTGTTATCATATTTATATTGTCTCAATAGTAGAATAGCAGAAAATACTATTCGATAAATAGTATATACCAAAAATTATGACATTGTACTCTCCTCTATAAAATTAGATATAACATTGTAGGTACATTTTTTGAAGTGGAGAAATCTGGTCTTCATTTCACAACTATGACTAACGACACACTATATCCGGGATCACCACTTTAAAAAAATATATCTGTCGCAGTCCGTTTGCTAGATGATGACTAGCAACCGAGATTATAAATATCAACAAATAAAACGAGAAGTAATCAGATTTTTTTATTAAGAATTCATCTAATTATAAAATAACAAAGTAAGTAAAAAGTAAATAATCCAATATTAAGGCGAAAAATGTCATTTTTTACCTATCTATAATCTGCCTGAAGTCTGGAAATAAGTTGGTGCAAGCTATTGCTATTAAATTTTGCAAATGGTCATCGGTAACGTGGCCATCGAGCAACGAGACGTGATAAAAATTTATTTTAATGTCTGTTGTGGCGGTTTGTAAACAAATCCGAAACAATAACCGTTACTATGTATGAGCTGTTATTGAAATTTTTAAGATTAAGAGTAAATAGTACTAATGTCAGTAAGAATTAGTTACATATAAAAGTTACCTAACGCCCTATTTATAGACGTGGTGTAACTGTTTTTGTAGCAAAAAAATTTAACAATTTTTGTAGGATTGTGGGACGTCGATTCAGTCAGTCGCGCAACTAAATTTAGTCTAGTCAATCGGGCGCAGTGCCGTTGTAACTACAGTGGATCCCGGTAATCCGGCAAACATTTTGCAGGGCGGTGTCGAATTATCGAATTTGTCGGATTATAGAGTAATGCCTAAGTCCGGTATTTTTTACAAAAGAGTACCTTGTAATCCGACAAATTATAGATCCAATGTTAAGAATCTATATTATATATATATGTACTCTGAAGTACAAATAATACTTCATTATGTCAAATTCAAACTAAGCAATCAGAATACCCTACGCGTCGAGCACAATGGTGGTGGTGCGTACAAGTTAGAACTTGTTCAATCATGCATTAGCGAAGATTGTCAAAAAAAATATTCAATAAAAAATAATAGACTAGATTAGACAGGGGCCAGATTACCGGGGGCCCACTGTAGTTTTATTGTACGCATACTTTTAGTATAAACTCCAGTGGAGTCTACTCGTTCTTCTCGAGTTCTCGCTACTCGGCCCGAGTCCGGCTTTTACATACTCGTATACTCGTGTTACTTGTCTGTGCTCGACAAGTATATAAACGTTGTATGATTGTATCAGCTGCTTTGACTAGAGAAGAAAGATCAGCTGCTACTACATTATTTCTGCTTTGACATTTTCATTTTTCACACCAAATTCAGTCTGCAACAAAATCTAATCCTTCCAACAAATCTTGATTTGACGAAAAAGAAAAACACAGACGAACGTGCAGTTTTTCGGTTGTTTGGACAAAAAACTATTCGTTCATTAGATCAGTCCCAAATAGTAATTATAAAGCACTCATCAAAAAGACGTTATTATAACTCATGGTGGCCAAAAAGCTACAAAAAAGCATGTTTTTTGTATGTATGTATATGAGTGGTGTCAACGTAAATCGATTTTCGGTTGCTTACGTACTATGAAATTTGAATTTGGATCAGTTCAATTACCGGCTTTAAATCAAACTCTTTTTGTCCAACCGTCGGGGCTTGACCAGGTCCACTTTCTCTGCGGCCGCTTTTGGAAGAAAGAGTTCATCATTAAGAGTCCCTCTTTCTCCATAAAGTCAGTCAGCTGCTGACCCCTTAGCTTTCGTTGCCCTATTCCGAATTTCCCTACTTTCAGCTCACCGTTCTTTCTCTCTTGTGCCTAGTTTTGCGTTGAAGTCTCCCATTAACACTGTATAGTGGGTTTTGGAGTAATGCGTGGCTCTTGACATCCTCATACATTTATTCCACTTCCTCATCGGAATGTGCCGAGGTTGGTGCGTAAACCTGTTATGACCTTCAGTGAATACCGTTTGGGGATCTGAGTATAAGGTACTGTTATATCACTTTTTCAAGGCAGTAAAATCTTAATAAGCATTTATGCAGGGTGTCCCAGGAAACCTATACCAGCGAAGGTCTGTGGTCTGGGGACACCAATAGCTATCGATTGGACCCCATGTATGTTGCGCAATTTTTTTCTAGTTTTCGGGATATGAATTTTTCGTTATATTTTCAGTTTTTTTTTTTACATTTTAGACGGTTTTAGCTATAACTTTTTCTGTGAAGTAATTCTTAGAGATTTTTTTTGTTAGTATTATAGCTAGCATGTGTGTCTGTAAAACACTACACCAACATTCTAATTACTAGTAGCTCAGATTTAGCTCACGAAATTAAAATTTCTGCTTGAGAGATATTTATATTTGATTTCAACTTGAAAAAAAAAATTACTTAACCCTGACTGAATAACTTTCTGATAATTTCAAAAACTTTATGGGTTTTTAGCACTCAAAGTATTACAAAATAGTTGGTACTTTATTTCTTATTTTTCTTTTTTCCTTCGATTTGCCGACGATATAGTCCTTATGGCAGAATCGCTGGAGGACCTTAGCACTATGCTCAATGACCTCAATGGTGTCTCCCAACGGATAGGTCTTAAGATGAACATGAACAAAACAAAGATCATGTTTAATGTCCATGTCACACCTATGCCGGTAATTGTTGGGAGCACTATGCTCGAAGTTGTTGACGAGTACGTTTACCTGGGGCAAATAGTCCGACTAGGTAAGTCCAATTTCGACCGAGAGGTCAATCGACGGATTCAACTCGGCTGGGCAGCGTTCGGGAAATTACGACACATCTCTCATCAGGTATACCTCAATCTCTGAAAACTAAAGTGTACAACCAGTGCGTGTTGCCAGTGATGACGTACGGATCTGAGACATGGTCCTTCACCGCTGGCCGTATGAGGACGCTCAAGGTCGCTCAGCGAGCTATGGAGAGGGCTATGCTCGGAGTTTCACTGCGTGATAGACTCAGAAATGAGGATATCCGCAGTGAAACCAGAGTGACCGACATAGCACAACGGATTAGTAAGCTGAAGTGGCAATGGGCCGGCCATATAGCTCGAAGAACCGATAACCGATGGGGAAGAAAGGTTCTCGAGTGGCAGCCTCGTACCGGTAGGCGTAGTGTAGGGCGACCCCCCACTAGATGGAGTGACGGCCTGGTAAGACATGCAGGAAGTCGATGGATGCAGGTGGCTCAGGACCGTGCTTTGTGGCATTACTTGGGGGAGGCCTATGTTCAGCAGTGGACTTGTGAAGGGCTGTAATGATGATGATGATGATGGTACTTTATATGGCATTTTTGTGCGAAAACGGAGTTTAAAGTTGAAACAGTCGAATATAGTGAAATTTATTTCATGCATTTAAAATGACATCTCACATTTTTCTGATCAATATGGTGAATAATTACGAATGTTAGATAAAAATATTTAAAATAACTTATTTACATAAAATTTTACTCGTAAGTACAACTTTTATTGCAAGCACAATTTAGGTAATAAATGAGATGAGGTCTCGGGCGCAGATACATGATGCAAGGAACAGGTAATGTTGAAAAATAATGACAAAAGCATGACCTACGTTACTCTCTCTAAGAACGCACTGTTTTCTTTGTCATCCTCAGAGTCGTCAGACGTTTATCGCCTACTCTTGCGCTCGCTCGTACGTACGTTACTTTGTATTATTGAATTTTGTGTACTTGGCTTGTGTTTTGGACTTTGATATTGTGCATTATTATTATGGCGTACTCCCAACGGGATTATGCAGAAATGCATTATTATTACGGCTACGCACGAAGAAATGCCGGACTTGCTGCAGGATTATACCGGGTCATGTTGATACACAGAGGAGGGCGCCAACCAGACACTTATCCAGACCGACATCTTTTCATCTCTGGGCGCTTACAAGGATTGATCGGACGACAATCTTGTGAAGGTGAACCGATAGACCCTGACCGCGTTGACGTTGTTTTAGAAGAAGTTGCAAGAGATCCCTCTAAGAGTATGAGAGCAATTCAACGACGTACAGGTAAATAATAATAATTGTTTCAAGGGTCTTTATGTGTTGGCTTCGGCCCCACACATGCCTAATTGGCCTAACAAAATTGCCCTAGACTTTGAAATGTAGACAACAATAATAATAATAATAAAAAATATTTGTGTGTGTTACATTTTTGTCCTTCTTTCACAGGATACTCTCGCACTACCGTGCACAGAATTCTGCGCAATGAGGGATGTCACGGAAAGTGCAAGATTTAATTGCACCGGACTACCAACGCCGAATTTAATTTTCTCCAGAGATGTTAAGAAGGAACAACGGAGACCCCGACTTTTTCCACCGAATTTTATGGACAGACGAATCGATATTCGAACGGCAACGGAATATTTAATATGCACAATTACCATTCCTGGGCGACCGAAAATCCAAAACTGGTTCGGCGTCACAATTTTCAACACCAATTTAGTGTGAACTTGTGGACGGGCGTTGTTGGCATAGAACTGATTGGCCCAAAAGAACTCTCAACGAGATTAAATGGTGAAAATTATTTAAATTTAAAAAAAATGATTTTGTGGAGGCCATGGCAGATTCAGATGTCAATTTATTAACACGCCAAAACATGATATTTCAGTGCAACGGTGCCGATTGCCACTATGCAAGACAGGTAAGAGGTCATTTGAACCAGCATTTCCCAGAGAGGTGGATTGGCCGTAATGCGCCTGGCCTCCAAGATCCCCAGACCTGAACCCCATAGATTTTTTTTATCTGGGGATGCTATAAGGAATTAGTGTACCATCGCGAATTCTCGGGTTTAGAGGAGTTAAAAACTAAATTAAATGAAGCTCAAACAATAATAAGACAAAACACCCAGGCCTTCCTAGATTTGCGCGGTAATTTTTTGCGTCGGTGCCGTTTGTGCATTGAAGCAGGTGGCAGGCACTTTGAACATTTGTTGTGAAAACAGTAATAAATAAATTATTTCTGTTGATTTATTTAGCACAAAGTGAAAAAATTATTTTCATTTGACTTTAATTGCACTGTTTTGAATCTTTTTATCTAATATTCATAATTATTCACCATATTAATCGGGAAAATGTGAGGTCATTTTAAATGTGAAATAAATTTCACTATTTTCGACAGTATCAACTTTAAACTCCGTTTTCGCACAAAAATGCCCTATAAAGTATATAGATACAGCTAAAAAACCCATAAAGTTTTGAAATTATCAGGAAGTTATTTAGTCAGGGTTAAGTAATTTTTTTTTCAAGTTGAAATCAAATAGAAATATCTTGAGAGATATTTTAAGAAAGCAGAAATTTTAATTTTGTGAGCTAAATCTAAGCTACTAGTAATTAGAATTTTGGTGTTTAGTGTTTTTACAGACGAACACACATGATAGCTATAATACTAACAAAAAAAATCTCTAAGAATTACTTCACAGAAAAAGTTATAGCTAAAACCGTCTAAAATAAAAAACTGAAAATATAACAAAAAAATTCATATCTCGAAAACTGAAAAATCGCGCAACATACATGGGGTCCAATCGATAGTTATTGGTGTCCCCAGAGCACAGACCTTCGCTGGTACAGGTTTCCTGGGACATTCTGTATAAGGCTACAGGTATAATATGTCACATAAACCTGTTGCCTTCTTTGTTTGAAACTGTGAAGTTGACTGCAAGTGTACCAGGGATGGTGGCCAGTAAGTTTGTTTGTTTGTCGGCTCGATTGGTGAGGCCATGCTCTTACATAATTGCAACATACAATATCAGAATAATGGTGCTGTTTCATATGGTGATGTAGCGGATCACAGATCCTTTTACTGTTAATGCGGCATCTTATCTTAGTCCTTAGAGATTAATTGGTGTAGAAGTGGGTGTCTGTGGACCATAGTGCCGACTTATTATCAGGTGGATGGTATTCCTTTGTCAGGCTTACTTCTAGAAAAAAAGCTTTTAGAGCAGCAGAGTTATTTTACCAATAGCAAATAAGTTTTTGTTTCTTTGTATGACGAAATGGAATAAACCTATATTTACGGATTTTATCGCGTTTAATAACTTATTTTTAGCTTATTTTTAATTTATAATTTTCGTCATAATGATTTCTTAAGTTTACGCGAACATTATACATCGAATAAAACTATGTAGGCATATTTACGGATTTTATCGTGTTTAGTAACTTATTTTAATTTATTTTTGACTACCGACGTTTCGGGTGCTTTACAGCACCCATGGTCACGGAGGGACTGAGCTGCTATCTGCTTGGGTTTCTATAATTAACAAAATTAAACCCAAACCCAAGCATATCACTGCAAGGTTTCAAATACTGTAAGCTCCGTTCTGCGTACATCGGACCAAAAATTAATATTCAAAAACTGAAGGGCTAACTATGTATGACATTGGGACGTCAAACATCTTAATCCCCCCCCCGGACCATGGGTGCTGTAAAGCACCCGAAACGTCGGGAATCAAAAATAAGTTATTAAACGCGATAAAATCCGTAAATATAGTTTTATATAATGTATAATGTTCGCGTAAATTTAAGAAATCATTATGACGAAAATTATGAATACCTATTATTACCTTAATGAAGAGAAATACTTGATAAATTCTATTTAGTGTTAAATTAAAAAATTAAAGTTGTCACTAAGATGCTGCATAAATAAAAAAATGGCATTTACCTAAAAATACTTTACCCTTCGAAATATACTACAATTATATAGTAAATTTTTTATAATGGGTATATGAAAGTTCTGGCACTTAACATACTGTAAAAATATTATTAAATATAATTGTTATTAAAAAAGGCTTATAATGGTGGGCCCACACGTACCACAACCACACCAAATCGCAGCGACTAAATGTGGTCACTTGTGAATAGTGTTGCTGCAGCTTTTTGCAGTTGCGTTGTGGTTGCATTACAAGTCTAGTAGTGGCGTTGACGCAATGTTGTGTTTGCGATGAGGCCCGCCGCTAGTTCCGTAGTGGTTACGTTGTTATCGGTATTACTCACGCAGTCGACAATGATGGCAAAATGTGGTACATGTCAATTGTACTATTCATTTCCAATACAAAAAGTGCCCGCCCACGTGTTGCGGTTGTGGCGTGTATGTATACACTAATATAACATTCAAAATCACATCACTCACATGTGTAAAAGTATGTACCACAATTATCCTACTTAGTACAGATCAAAGAAATTATCATGAAATATACATTATAATCATCAGCATCTATTAGAACTGATTTCATATAAGTCCGATAAGAAGAAGAAGAAGCACAGGAGGAAGGAGAGTACAAAGTGCTCAAGCACTTTAGTAAGTGCTTGAGCACTTTGTACTCTCTTTGTCTATCCAGTAAAGAGATGTCCATAATGAACTTGTTTGTTAACATCTTTGAACGCATAGCGGCAGGCCTAGCGCCTGGCTCATTACCACCTGTTGGTCCACCTGATGGTGAGTGGATGCTGTGGCCCATAGACATCTATATTTATCATCGATTAAGAATCATAACGCAGATGCGTTGTCACCCTTGAAGACTAAGGTGGAATGCCTCATTTACAGTAAAAAAGGGTCTCCTTATCTCTACACTCACCATACAAAACACAGCAGTATTAAGTTGCTATTTTACACTGGTTTTCTGTGAGACCGTGGTCCTCCCCGGTCGAGTCGACTTATTCATTCTACAACCATAATATAGCTGCAGTGTGGCTTTACAACGTACAGATAAGTAGGCTCTACCACATTCAAAATAAGTTAAATTGTCTAGTTCATGTAAAAATAATTATGTTAAATCTTTTACAATTATTATATATATGTATATATAAATTTTGAAATAGTTGCCATACTTAGCAGGCTGGTTGGCAACTGCAGTTTTTTATTACTTTGATTTGTTTTCATCAGAAAGATACTGCTGCCCAACTTCTGTTTTAATTTCCCTCTGTCATCCTCTGACAACACCCATGGGATGAAATGGGCTAGCGGATATTCTTACACCACCAAATGAAGAGATGAAGAGAAAATGCTTTTTAGTAAGTTTATTTTTCCAAAAACATTGTGCAGTCTTTCAAGCAACAAACATTTATTACTGTTTAATTCTATGTCAAGTATCTTGTATGTACAAACATTTAAAATCTAATAAAATTTCTTTAGCTTACACATTGTAAGACAGCAAAACCAACAAAATGTAATACTGAAAAAGTACCAAAGCCATATGCAAGTGTCAAATTAATAAATAGTCTTAACATTTGTCATGGCTATAGAATAAGCATTATTATATTTAACCATGAAATAATATCGATGTACTTGATTGTAATACAAAAATTGATTTATTCTAAATAAGCTGTTTCATGAAACATCCTATTACACACCCTCACGGGTTGAATTTTCCAAAATCCTTTTTTAGTGGGTGTCTATGTTGAGAAAAGGCAAAGTCAAGTCAATTGGGCATTAGCTTTAGAGATCATGTGATGAGTGAGTGAGTCAGTGGTATTTTGCTTATATATATAGTTGTATATACACATAAATGTGCAATTAATAAATAATTTGTACTTAAAATGTCGTGCATAATTTTACTAAAATTTTGAAGAAATTCTACTAAAACATTATTATATTGTGTCAATTTCTATATTTATTCGAAAAACTGAAGCAGGATCTGCTAGTTCATTACGGACTGCATTTTCGAATTTCTTGAAAATGATAGAAAATTCCATTATATTTTCTGGTTTCGATTCAATCCACATTTTATCAAATTCAAAGAACAAATAACAATAAAATCTGTGAAATAAATTAATAGTAGGTAAGTATCGTTTAGTGTTAAACATATAAGTCTTAGCAGATCCATCTTTTAGGAGGTAGTAAGCCATTGAAGTAATGTTAATACCTACAATTGCAAAGGTATAACCATATAAAGGATGACAAGAATGACTTAGTACATGACTTGATACTTCTGGATATTCTGTAGCAAAAAATAACAGATTTTCTAATCCAAGCATACCCATGCCACGGAAGTCAGTCTTTGGATCATCCCCCTGAAAAAGTAATTGAGAAGTATGATTTTTTAATTAAAAGGTGATTCATAAAAAGTTCAATAAATTAAAATAAATAATAACCTGGAAACCTATATATTGCCACTGTTTAGTTATTCGGCTTTCTAGAGGTGTGTCAGGAACCAGTAAAGACCACAACTTTAACAACTTCTCTTCATGTAATGGATTATTACTATCAAATTGCGTCCGACGAAGATTTTCCACGTCGTTTATGAGACTTCTGTAACTCCAAATTTGTTCTAAGCATCGTCGAAAAGAAGTGATGAAAGGTGTGTGAAGCTTTGTGTTAATTTTTTTAACTCTAACTATGATTGATATTGAGGGTTCTAATATGTCACGAAAGTTTTCTGGAATAAACCTGTGTTCCGAAACAGTTGCATCTAAAAAGGAAATGACTTCCTTTACATTTTGTGTACGCGATAACATTAAAGACTTTTCAATATTGCATGTTCTTGCAGCTCCAGCTTTATCACCATAACATATCCTTTGTAGCTCGCACAAGCGGGTTGTTTTTCGAAAAAACCACTTGATCAAAGGTCTTAAATACCATGCGAATAATGACCAAAGTTTTAAAAATATCATTTCTTATCTTTCGTTTATAAAAGTTATCATTCCTCCAGATTGTGATGTTTATTGTTGTATTTTTTCATAAGAAATCGTAGACAGAGAAAAAGGTCGGGTAATATCAGGCTCTACAATCTTAGAACCACAGACTACTAAGAGGGTAAGAGGATACTACGCATCAAACAAAAATCTTAGTTATACAAAGCAGAGGTAATCTGTGCTTAGAACAACCAATACGGAACCAGTATTATAGCTTAGAGTTTGACATTTGTTTACTTCTAATTTTGAGGTATCAGGCAAAAGTACATCATTGATAAAGCCTATTTACGTTACTTTTAAATTTTGTAGTTATAAGGCAAAAGTACACCATTGATAAAGCCTAATTTCATTCACATACAGCTATTCACCATTAAAAGTTAACAATTTTAAAATCTTTAGAACTTATAATACAAAAATAAAACAACTTATATATTAGTTATTAAAGTTTTTATTTTTTTCTTTTGAAATTATTTATAAACTTTATCTAGCATTTGCGGCAATTGGTTACGTTATTTTAATCTCACAATATCAAATTCTTTTAAGATTTTAATAACTACGTTACAACAGTTCCATATACATTATTTTATCGTTATTGAGACAAAATATTCTAGAAGAGCTTGTTTATGACTCGGCATGTTAAGAAATCAAACGAATATTTGGATCTAATTTCCATTTGATTTTTTTTTTAAATTTCATAAGAATTTGGTTTCACTTCCAAATATTAGTTTGTTTCTTTTACAACGGTTGAAATATACCTCACTGCATATTCTGAGGGATAGGTTGATTTTTGTTTTTATTTTAAGTATCTGTACTCTGTGTGAATTCCATTGGTGGACTGACGACTGACTTTTTTTAGAGGACACAATACACTCCTTGTCCTCTTTATTAACAAATCTCATTACTTCTATTTTTTTTATGGAATTAGTCCAAAGGATTTCGTGCTCTGATGAATTCGTTCCAGCTTGCCTTATGGGTTTCACTTTGTTTCTCTGTCTAAAAGCTGTTTCCTTACATGAATCAAATAAGTCCTCGAAAAATGACAAAGCTTCTGAAATATTTTTTGACGTCGAGTTAACAGGTTTTCTATCAGCTTAGTGAGCTGCAACATAAAAATAAATATAATGTTAGCCATAGAAACCCTAAATTAAAGTTATTTGTTTCTCTTTTATTCTTTTTTTTTTTACTTTTTATAAGCCAGTGCTTGAGCACAATCCCGTCTGGTGGTAAGTGGTGATGCAGCCTTAGATAGTAAATCGCACTGTCTTAGCGTAACAAAACCCTATTCAATCTTGCCTTGAAGACGCCCAGATTGTATTCGGACAGAAAGATAGACGCTGGCAAATTATTCCACTCCTTTGCTGTACGCATTAAAAAATTCGAAGTAAACAGTTTGTTTCTAATGCGTGAAATATCAACAACAAAGGGGTAAAGACCCGCCGACCGCCTGGTCGTCCGAAGGAGAGGGAGGAATTAAAGCGTGCAATTCCTGCGCACACTCTGCGAAATGCATCCTATAGAAATGTAATGGTAACCGCGGTTAACTATGACATCTGGACGTTGAACATCTCAGTCCCGCCCGTGACCTGTGTTGAGTGACCCGTGACCGAGTGCTGTAAAGCGTTCGAAACGTCGGGTATTTAAAAAGTTAAATATACGCGATAAATTCCGTAAAAACTAGTATTATTTCAATCAATCAATGTAGTGTGGAGACGCCAGTAACTTAAGGTATCTTCGATAAAGATTTAGTGGACTGTAATTTTGGTGCATACGGCAAAGGGGAAAATAAATAGGTGGGATAGCACGCACTGACCTGATGAGGGCTGCCTCGCCTTCCTCCTGGAGTGTCTGCTATACAGCGAGCTCGCCACGTGGTTCGGCGCACACGCACTCTCGGAACAGTTTCGTGAAGTCCCACACTCTCGACCTTTGCCCTTACGGGGGCGTCTCACACTTTTATGAGTTACAAAGACACAATGTCTGATGCGGTGAGTATTAAAGATAAACAGGAGAACTTAATGTTCGTCCTGCGCGGTTTGCGGTTAATATATCGCACATACGTTGCTATAACGTCACTTATGCAATTTTTCTCAAAACTGAACTGAGTATGAGAAAATACACCTAATCTACCTCTTTACTTGGTGCGTTATTGTCGTTTGTGTAGTACGTATACTTTTCGTGTGAGGGCACTAATGTCGTTATGGTTTTGGCGTGAATTTGAATGCCACTGGAAGAAACAACGTTTCATTGGTCAGTTGCGCACGGCATCCCGCACAAGAAGCAGTCTCCTGGAGGTACAACGTTACTAAGGTAATTGTGACAATTTATTTTTATGTTTTTGGAGTAATAACGACACTTATTTAGTTGTGACGTTTGTATCTTGAAAAAACAATATGACACTTGTGTAAGTAGTGACGTTGTTTCCCCAATATTTGTATTTTATGGTATAAAGTTAACGTAAGATTAATGGTTGTGACAATATTGCTCCAGTATAGTAGGATTAATGTTTTATTTTATAATTATTTTATATTTTTATGATAATTGTTCCGACATGATCCTTTAAGGATCTAATAAGTAATTATTTTGTATTAATTAAAAATTAAAATATCGGTAAATCATTCGATCATATATTTTGTTATTATCACATTTTTATTTACCTTTTTGTTATCATTATGTAGGTATTTTATTTCTTTCAGATCTGAAATGAACCAACGCAGTAAAAACCTTGTGCTACTTGCACTTTCAAATGGCAATCAAAACTCCGTTGAAGTGCAAAATTTAGCCAACTCTACAAGGATGCCATGTTCTGAACATATATTGTCTCATCATACAAATTCTGAGAAACAAGTAACACCAGCCAATCTAGATGACCTTACAACAACTACTCCAGAGCAGAATGATACTACTTTAGAGAACCCCAGTAACTCTCCGTCTATTTTATATGCCACTAATGAAACGAATGAATGAAATAATATCGACTTCCCAACAGGTGATTTCTCCGGCACTGTTATTAATGAGATTGTAATTGTTGTACTGTAATTTAGGAGATGACCCTCGTGCAAGGTCGTCTTCATCCAGTAGCTCCAGAAGCAGTTCCAGCTGTAGCTCCAGTAGTAGTTCCAGTGGCAATTCAAGTAGCAGTTCCAGTGATACTCCTGCTGAGAATAATAATTCTAATAATGAGAGTCTTTTTAACGGGCATAACCAAACAGAGCAACCTATAACTAAACCAAGAGGCAGAAAGCGTACGCGTAATCCAACAACCTGGAAAAAGAATGTTGCAAAGCGATTGAAAAATTCTGGTCAAACTTATATCTCAGTAAACACCAAAAAACTAAATCAAGGTAAGACAATGGGACCTTCATGTACCTCAAAATGTCGGTTATCCTGTGCTGCAAAATTTACTGAACAAAAAAAGGACGGAAATATTTAAGTCTTACTGGAAGTTGGAGAGTGTAGAAAGGCAACGGGGTTTTTTAAACGCTTGCACAAGAACACTAAAATGTGCTTACCGCCGCATAAAGACTAACAAAATGTACGACAGAAAAGAAAACACTGCATATTACTTGCTTAATGAGAATAAAGAGATCCGCGTCTGTAAAACTTTTCTGATCAACACTCTGGGTATCACACAACGGATAATACGGTCTGTTATCGACGGAAAAGCACGGAATGATGGCTTTACGCCACCTGATCAACGAGGAAAACACGGAAAGCAATGCAAATTGCAACCTGAAGTTATACAAGCAGTAAAGGACCATATCGAATCAATTCCAAAGGTTGAAAGTCATTATCTCAGGGCTAATACTAGCAGACAATTCATTGATGGGGGTTTGACAGTCGCAGCATTGCACAGAAATTATTCCGAAATTCAGAAGCAACAAAACACGCCTATTGTAAACTACGACGTCTACTCACGGATTTTCAACCAAGATTTTAACAATGGAGTTTTCAAACCCAAAAAAGATCGTTGCGATGAGTGTGTGAAGCATACGAAAATGCCTCTGAAGTAGAAAAGAATAAATTACGTGAAAGCTTCAACTTAAATTTTTTTTTGTAGAGTTAAGAAATTTTGTTATACTTCTTTGCTACTATAATAAATATTATTTTATAATATTATGATTTCGTGTTTTGTTTGTTTTGACATAATTGTCAGGTTAATTGTTTTCTAGTGCCATAACGTCACTTCTGTGGGGGTAGTAATTTTTAAACGTTTATATTTTTTAATAGTAATTAGTGAGATGTTTGCTTTTACCTTAAAATGAAGTTTAAAGTTGTAGTTTAAATATTATCATTTTATTTCTTTAGTCGAGAAGAACTATATGTTGTAATAGGGTGTTGAATTTTCAAACGCTTCTCCTGAAAAATTACATCATTTGCATAAGTGACGTTATAGCAACGTATGTGCGATATATAAGACGCGACGGCTGGCCGTGCGTTGCGGATGGCGTAATGTCACTTAGTATAATGACGCGCGCCGAGATCCTTTCCTTCACCTCGGCGGCAGCGCGTGCGGTAGGAAAGGGAAGGAAGGAAGGAAACAAAAATATGCACTAGTCATGTTGATAAAGTAGTAGAAACTTAGGACGAACTCAATGCGATGAGTAATGTAATGTTGATAAAGTAGATTGTTAACTGGCGTTACCATTTCCTCCCGCCCTTAAAGGGTCACCTTTAAAAGACAACCGTAATATAAAAAGAAAAGGAAAACAAATAAATAAGCGGTATATAAAGTGAGAGGATGCGCTCAATGCGCGTGTGTCATCTACTAACCCTACTTGGTAAGCAAGAAAATGTATACATAAATATAATATTGCGGTTTAATACTTTTTAATATATAAATATAAACTTAATTCCTAATTTAGATAAATAATTATAATCAAATAATCGTGATTTATTGTCTTGGGAGAGGGCAGATACGAGCAACAGGACGGAGATATGTTCCCTTAGTAGTTCTCACGGTCACTACTCGAACTACGCCATCCTTCGAAGGATGAACAGACTCGACAATCGCTAATGGCCAAGCAAGGGGCGGTTCATTATCATTTATCACAATTACAACCATGCCTGGTACGATAGCCGTAGACGGGGTGTTCCACTTCTGACGAACTTGTAATCCGTGAAGGTATTCCGTCCTCCACCGATCCCAAAACGACTGAACTAATTTATCCAGTAAAGAATGCCTGTGTAACAGACTGGTAGAGTCAGATTTGACTTCGGGTGCGGGTAATGACAATAAAGGTGCGGTATTCAAAAAATGACTCGGAGTAAGAGCTGAAGGCTCTGCGGGATCAGAACTTAATACTGTCAAGGGCCGCGAGTTTAGCAAGCACTCAATTTGCGCAAGAACAGTATTAAGCTCTTCGTATGAAAGTAACTGATGTCCGATAACTCGGAACAGATGCGTTTTTACGACTTTGACCATACTCTCCCAGGCGCCTCCAAAATGAGGAGAGTTGGGACAGATGAACTTCCATGTTATACGATTCTCAGCACACTCTTGCTCAAGCTTTGGGCGGTATTCAACGTTTAGAAATTTATAGAGATCGCGAAGGTACGAAGCGGCACCTTTAAAATTCGTTCCATTATCCGAATATAAAAACTGAATCGGCCCTCGTCTAGAGAGGAAACGTTTAAGCGCAGCGAGGAAACTAGAACTACTAAGATCTGTAGCGATTTCTATATGCACAGCTCGAGTCGTGAGGCATGTGAAAACACATAAGTACGCCTTCTCGCTGCGTACACCACGACGACGTACAGGAGTGTATGCGATAGGACCGGCATAATCGCAGCCCGTGTGTGTAAATGCCTTAATAGCTTGTCTTACACGACTATGGGGAAGATCAGCCATCAAAGGGTAAGTTGGACGGGGTCTAAGCCGGAAACATATATTACACTTGTGGACTCTGCTTCTCACAGTGCGGCGTGCGGAGAGTATCCAAAATTTTTGACGGAGTAATGACAATAACAATTCAGGGTCAGCGTGTAAATTTTTAATATGATAATAGTCAATGATCATGTTCACTACATGATCACTGCGCGGGAGTATAATTGGATGTTTTTGCGTGTAATCTAATGCGGAGTTCGAAAGACGATCACCAATGCGGATTAAACCATTCTCAATAAAAGGCCTTAAACGATTGAAAGCGGGCGAGCAAGGTTTGTTACCTTCAATACTTAAATATTCCACTGTAAAATGCTGTTTTTGCAGGGCGCGGAGCATTATAACCTCAGAGAAACTGAGATCATCAGCAGTCACTACAGTAGTGCTGCGGCGGGGCAATAATTTAGCAAACTTACACACGTACGCAATTATACGTAGAAGTTTACTCCAAGAAGAGATGCGGAGTGCGAGCTCATAAATCGCAGAATTAGAGACGGATATGCACACCGCATGTGACAAAATCTTCTTCTCAGGCATGTCTGCAATAACCTCATTGTCTAAAGTACGAAGAGGCCATTGAGATGGATCTAACGAAGTCCACTGAGGCCCATGGAGCCACAGGGGGGTTTGAAACTAATTTATTTGGCGTAACGCCACGTGAAAGTATGTCAGCGGGATTCTCAGTACCTGCGACATGATAAAAGTTATCAGCGCGAATATTGTCGGTAATCTGAACAACGCGGTTTGCAACAAAGGTCTGCCACTTGTGTGGCGAACTCTTTATTCAGTACAGAGCTACTTTTGAATCTACAAAGGCATAGACTGATATTGCAAGGTCAAGAGAATAATTGTCGAGTACTCTGCGAAGCAATTTTGAGAGTAAAACCGCTCCACAAAGCTCAAGGCGTGCAATAGATAGTGGTTTTGTCGGTGCGACTTTAGTCTTCGCACAAATCAACTGGACGGTGTTACCATTGACGCTCTTTACATGTATGTAAACTACGGCACCGTATGCGTGCTCGCTGGCGTCGGAAAACCCCAGGAGTGACGCAGTACAGTTTTTGGATACACCAACATGTCGCGGGATACGTAAATCATTAAGAGCTGGTAATTCAGCACAGAATTGCCTCCACATCTTAATAATTGGCGGTGGTGGTATGTCGTCCCAATCTAAATTAAGTTGCCAAAGCTGCTTTATTAACAATTTAGCGTACGCGACTGTGGGAGCAACGAAACCCATTATGTCCCACAGGCGGGCGACAGTAGATAAGATGGCGCGCTTAGTGCACGTCACATCAGCGGGAACAGATATCTTAAAATAAAAGGTGTCACTATCGGTAGACCAATGCAAGCCTAGTATTTTATGTGGCATTGATTTATCGAACTCTACTTCTCCTGTAATTTTATGGGAAGTAGGGAGGTCATCTAAAACAGATCGACGGTTGCTATGCCATTTTATCAGGTCCCATTGGGCACCCTTGAATAAGTCTATCAGCTGCCGAGAGGTCTCACTGGCCTCGGATTCACTGGGCATAGAGAACGCGATGTCGTCCATATATAGCGAAGTAGATGCGATACGACTTGCAAGTGGATACTTTGCGCCGTCGTCATCAATGAGCTGTCTTACCGTGCGCAATGCATGGTATGGACTCGAAGTTAAACCGAAGCACACGCGATTGAAGTGGTACAACACAAGTGGGTCTTGTGGACGGAAGCGGTATAGGAAGCATTGGTAACGACGATCAGAATCGCGAACAACTATTTGCAGAAATTGTTGGCGACAGTCGGCTGTCATAGCGATTGGATGTAAGCGGAAAGTTAAAATTACATTGAACAAGTCGCCTTGCAAATTTGGTCCTGAATGCAGAATATCATTTAATGATCGCCCAGTGCTAGTCTTACTGCTAGCATCCAGGACGATGCGCAGACGCGTTGACTTCTTATCTTCGCGTAAGACTCCATGATGCGGTATGACATATATTGGAGCGGGTTCATGAGAGTCATACGGCGGTGCGGGGGATATATAATTATTAGCTAAGTATTCCTTTATGACGTCATCATATGCTAACCTTAATGTAGGCGAGGCTTGAAGTTTCCTCTCCAAGCACATGAATCGTCGTCGAGAGGTTTCATAAGAATCTCCGAGAGAGTAAACGTCATCTTTAAATGGCAGGGCGACAATATATCTACCAGTAAAAGAATCGCGGGATGTCGAAGATTTATAAAACTCTTCACATTCAATGTCTGAAGGACACTGAATGGGCGGTGCGGAGGGTGGCTGTTCAAGCTCCCAAAATCGTTGCACTAATTTGTCAACGGTAGGAGACTCTAGAACTGAGCAGCACGTTAAAGAATGATTTACCTGAAGTGTCGGCACTGAGCCCATAATAACGTAACCAAATACCGTATTCAAAGCTGAGGGCCCGGACAAGTCGTTAGACGAATAAATTACGTCTGGACACAGTAAGTGCGGGAAAAGGGATGCGCCTATCAACACATCAATTTTATTAGGCATGCTATAACATTCATCAGCGAGCCTTATGCCATGGAAGTGTGATAAGACAGATGTGTCTACCACAGCGGTGGGCAAAAGGTCGGTGATTTGATCAACAACTAGCGTTGAAATATTGAAGTTAATATTCGAGTCGAATCGTGAGAAAATTTTAATATCAATCGATTTCGATTTTACAATTTTTTCAACTCCACCGAATCCCTTTACTACAGTACATTCGGTATCGTGATGTTGAACGCCTAAACGATGACAGCACTCTTTAGTAATAAAATGGCTTTGAGCCGCGGAGTCTAATAATATACGAATAATTTGTTTCTCTCCCTTAGCATCGTATGCAAAGACTTGAGCGGTTGATAGTAAAACAGTTCTCTGCGAACGACTTACGCGCGCGGGAGGCGGTGAACGTTGAGAAACATTCTTGAACGAAGTACACAGCGCGACGTCTGAACGCGCACCTGCGGTGAGGGGTGGCGAGTGTGCGGGCGCGGGGGCTGTAGACTTCAGTGTAACTGGCTGAGGCGGTGGAGAATGCGCCAGCGCAGGGGAAGCATTATCGCTTCTGCGGTGGAAGTGCAACAATGTGTGATGTTTAAATTTACAAACTCGACAACTATAAT